TCTTTTCTTGTCGTGTTTGCAGAAGTTTGTTAAATCTGACAATATGTTGTTTATTCAAGTTCTTATCAATCGTGAGTCAATACACACTAATCTATTTTCAGATATAGCACCAATACTGCTGGGCAATAGAAAGTATACGAATATGTTTCATTGTGTTTGTAATGGAAAAAAACAAGAATGGTTATTCCATTATGTATTGTACACGGTAGCCTTGCTCCAAGGCTGTACTGAATGCTAGCTAAACCCATGGATTTATACTAATTGTATCCTTTAAAGTGGCAAGTCTAGATAAGCGGACAGTACTATCATTTAAACTATTATAATTATTACCTTAGAGGCTTGTGCAAGTCTATTTACTCAGGTATAATGCTTGTCCTTTGGGCCTAAATTTGCATCGTTCTGGCGACTGTTTCCAGTCTAGTAATTAGCGTTTCGGTAACTTTAATCTTTTGTCAAATTTCCACGTGAATACTTTATTTTGTCCGGCAGTGTGTATAGTCCACAAGCAACAAGAACCAGTCATGTAACTGTACAAAATCCGAAGATGTTATGACCTTGTGTTTCACTGAAATGGTCAGTAAGGAAGCCATGAATAAAGTGGACACGCATTCAAGAGGGGTCACTTTAATATCGCAGCGGGGCGCAGGAAATGTGAGAGTAAGTCTCTCCTCCGCGGAGATCTATAAACTTGTGGGGACACAAAGCAGCGTCAAGGTCATTTATGAAGGAACAGTTTGTAGGGGTTGTGGTTGAAGGGGGGTTGGGGTAGGGGAGGGTTGTTTTAGAGGTTATCAGGTCCGTGGGTGGTTAGTGAAGGGAATAGACCTCGAATGGCGCTTACTGTCGGGGTCAGAGAAGGCAATAAAAGTCTATGTGATTTACGGGCAGTCTTGGTATGGTGTCCACGTCACTGACGGGTCAATATACCACCCTCCTCAGTCAACACTACACCCTTCTTCTCCCCAACCTTTCTTATCTACCAGTAATGCCCGTTATCTTCCTGGTTCGTTCGTAATGCTAGACGACGCTGGGCTGTAGACAAACATGTTTCCAAATTATGTACATGTTGAGGTTTCTAATTTTACACCTGAGGAATGTTATCTACAAATTCCCCCTAAACTGACCTTTGAATACGTTTAAGAAACATAAGAACTAGAAACCCGGGTATTTATAAATAACTATGACACGTTGCATGAAATATTTAACAATAATTAAACATGTGATTTATCGTACAAACACAACTGCAACACTCAACTGAAATTCGGAACAAACTTATGACCTGAGCAATGTCTTCTGTTTGCAGAAACTTGAGTCCAGTGCATAGGTAAAGGGAGGTAATTCGTCAATGTATAGCCAGGCGATATGCCATCTGGACATTGTGGGTTGCCTAGTTCAAGCCCTCCCTGCAATGCCAAAGCCTTAAATGAAGCAAGTCTAGATGATTGATTCTCCCAACTCACAAGGGCTCCTTTTCAATTTAAATGGGTTTATTTGTTACTTTCAAAATTTATTCAGGGACTTTAGCGTTTGTTAGTCACAGTTCATTTTCACTCGTTTTCACGAGAGTTTCAATTGTCTTTTAATAGACTTTCAGGACAGAAGACACAAATAACCATACTGATTTGCGACCAGTTATTCTGCACTGCGAAAGCCTGAAATAAACCAAGTCTAGATTTCCCTGTTCTCAACAGCTCTACCCACTAGGGCTCCTATTCACAGAATTGTTTTGTTGTTGTTTATTTGTTGTTGTTTGTTTTTGTTTCTATAAAAAATATACATTTTCAGAAAATTAGTGTTAACCTATGCCACTATTTGCGACAACATTGCCGGACTACCCGACTACCCGTGAGTGATTAGTTTTGTTTTACGCCGCACTCAGCAAACATTCCAACTATATGGCGCCGGTCTGAAAATAACCGAGTCTGGACCAGACAATCCAGTGATCAACATCATGAGCATCGTTCTAAGCAATTGGGATATGATGACATGTTTCAGCCAATTCAGCGAGCCTGACCACCCGATCAAGTTAGTCGCCTCTTACGATAAGCAAGGGTTGCTGAAGATCAATTCCAACCCGGACCTTTAACGGGGATTACTGAGTAAATGCTCGTATATTAAAGCCACAGGCAGGTTGTTTTCTAAACGTGTTGTACGGAACCATAAATCTTCAGACTGATCTAATAAAGGTGTTGGTTTACAATACATATTGAAAGTCATGTTCGAGTTTATCACGAACCCAAATGATTTATATGGCCTCTCGTGTTGTTAAGGTCAGGATATGAAAATACAAAACCGTGTCAGCAAACGAACAAAAAGTGGATGCCTAGTAAAAGAGGAAGTATACACCATTGACGCCGTTCTTGATTTAGCCTTCAGAGTGAATATGACTACCACACCGCCCCTCAGCCTTCAGACGACACTGTAAAGTTTACCACCGTTAAACCGGACACTCAACCCTGGGCGATTCATGCTGCTACGTACGAGATAATCCGTTAATCTGGAGGATTTCACTTGGACACTACCGCCCTGATTACCAAAGTTCAGAAATCAAGAAATCAAGCTCTTGAAAACAGGATTTGACACACACAAAATTGAAAACCTTATCAAAACTTTATAAAAAACGAAAACTAAAGCCGGATACCCAGTTGCTCTGGTTCCCACTTCAGACACCATCAAATATAGTTTGTGTGAGTGCTCTGTTTTGCCCGAAATTATATTTTGTCAACCTTGCATTAAAACGGCATTGTCTGTGTCAGAGACTGGTGGGTTTCACGAGAACTGATCCTGGCTTTACGGAATTTCGGTCCCCGTTGATAGCAATTACTCACGGGTTCAATCCGCCTTCAGTGCAATTTTCGTCAATGAAAAGGTTTTTTTCATGATTGATAACACATATCGGAATACTGAAAATACTCATGGTGACTCATTTCACATGTGTCGGTAGTCAGTGACACGCCGCGATTTCTATTTTTCAAGATTGCAATTTTTTTTTTCAAATTGTTTTCTTGATATATTTATGTGTTTAATCTAACCAAGGTTTTGTGTAAAAAAACTAGTCAGAAAACTCGTGAAAGTAATCATGTCGTCCACCATGTTATCAATGAAAGGACGACCACAGGCGGATTGTGGTTGCTGGCCACTTAGGTGAACAGTCCCGAAAGAGTTACCTCCCCTTGCTGGGACTCAAGCGCAGTCAAGGTTGCACGAAGACGTTTTCACACAGGCTTCTATATTAAGGTTTGTTTTGTTTTTTAAAAATGGAACCAAACAGTGAACATGTACTACATGTACATGTTAGCAAACTCTGCCTTAAAGCAGCAATAAACAATAAAATGAGTTTAGCCAGTTCTTCTGCGTACAGGAAATTAAATTTACCACCAAATGTCACCTGATATGATGTTTTCAAACACAGCACTAAATATTGAAAAACATGGTCAGTTTTATTTACTCGATAGAGTACAGTTTTAATATATATATATATATCTTAAACGAGACAGCGGTGGGGTAGCCTAGTGGTTAAAGCGTTCACTCGTCACGCCGAAGACCCGGGTTCGATTCCCCATATGGGTACAATTCGTGAAGCCCATTTCTGGTATCCCTTGTCGTGATATTGCTGGAATATTGCTAAAAGCGGCGTAAAACTAAAACTCACTCACCCAAGCAAATGATTCTGTATTTTGTGTAGCAGAACCTGCATTAAAGTGATAATGAGTCTCCGGTTGATGGTGTGAGAGGCCCAATGCGCATAAAACAAGGGTTTTCAAAACAGCAGTGTTTGTCTCCGAATGCTATTGATCAAATTTGTGTCCTTCACCGTTGGCTGAAGATGGGAATCCCATTACATTAATTACAGTGTTTTGCTGTGCTGGTCGTGTTGGCCACAATTGTGTATTAACGAGCAAACAATACCCCATCAGTATCAACATGGAGAACAGCACGATTCGGAGTCATACGTTTTGCCTGAAATGGGTATCGAACACAGATTCTCGTTTTGATTGGTGAACGATTTAATGACTGAGCTATCTATCACCCACATACTAAAGGAAAAAGTTAATGAAAACCGGTTATTGGACTTGTCCGACTTAGTTAAAGGCGGAATTAACTACACTGTCAATAATCAGCAGCCAGTGAGTGAGTGAGTTTAGTTTTACGCCGCGGCGGTCTGTAAGTAATTGAGGCTGGACCAGACAATCCAGTGATCAACAGCGTGAGCATCGATCGACGCAGTTGGGATACGATGACATGTGTCAGCGAGCCTGACCACCCGATCCTGTTTGTCGCCTCCTACGACAAGCATGGTTTACTGAAAATCACTGCTAACCCGGATCTGACCCAAGTGCCACATTCAATAGATGTATATGTTAGTATCGGGACCGTTAGGTCATATTCTTTTGTTTCTTTTTTTCGGTGAATGGATTCCAACACGAAACAAATTTGGTTCTTAGTTCGGAAAAAGTGGAAGAAATATTTATCAATTCACTTCCAAATATTGTTTTTATTTAGCTTAAAAATGTATGTAAGTAGAAAAGTGGGATTGTTAATCGTTGTAATGTAAAATTTATATGTAAACTTCGGTTATAACGAACTTAAGTGGACCACGAAGTTTACATCATAATATACAGGATATGTACGAGATATAAGAATCCCATCGTTATAAACGTACTTTAAACGGAATATAAATGCTTTCCCCCAAAATAACATATAATGTTTAGGAGTGGGCAGATTCGAAAAAAAACATTCTCTGTCTGAGCATGACCGAATGCTGACCGAGTTCAAGTACACGTATACTACATGGACACACAACATAGGTGTGAAGCCCATTTCTGGTGCCTGGTGACATTGCTGGAATATTGCTAAAAGCGGCGTAAAACTAAACTCACTCACTCACACAACGTAGCATCTTCTTGGCTGAATTTACAACACCCCTAAACGCTGCATCAGTTCCATGTTTAACCACAGCAGATGGACGACAGTGTGGCAATCAAGGACAAGATTGATGATTATACTTGTACTGTTTATAAAACCAATACTAAAATACATATATAGTGGTAAAGCACCGAACGATGAAACACTCTCTTTGATATTCGCCTTCTTCACCCGTCATAGTACATCACATACGTCATTTGGTTGCAATCATCCGAACAAATTCTGAAACAGACACGGAAGCGTTGTTATAGTACAGTACCCAAGCATGTTATCAATAATTCTGTGTGAAGACAAAACGCGCCTGTAAAGTCCCAAGTTAAATGACTGGTCCTCGAGCATCGTGCGGTAATCCTAAAATACATTGCAACTTAGCAGGCGCCACAATGGAACGCTTCACCCTGGCATTTGCATAGCATAAATTGATGAGCATGAGGAACAGCATCTCTCAATTAACATTATCATGAGTTGATTTTATCAAATGGAAATATCTCAAGAAAGTAATGATATATGTTTTATTTTTTAAAATATTTATTTTTATTTTTTTGCTGACCAAAAATGTTTTGCTTCACATGCAATTGCTGATAGGTATCTCAGACATTTGTACAAATTTACATTTCAAACACTGTATTTGTCATGTGGTTGCAACTGAACCAATTTCATTATATAAAATGTTCCCATTCACAGAGGACTTTCAACAAACTGTTGCTCGATAAGAGATAGTAATGCATACATAATCACATAAAACAACAGTTAATTTTCTGTTGCATAAAAATCAGTACTTCATTTGGGAAAACAAGAAAAAACAAAACGAAAACAAGAGAAGACGACGAAATGTCATATCTAAAGAGTTGATATAATGCATATTCCCCATTCAAATACTCATTTTATACAAACTCGCAAGAAGTTATCTTCCTGCTTTCATTTAGCTATGAAAAAGAATTCCACATATAATTAAAACTTTAGTGCCACTCGTGAAGCAAAACATCACTTTCCCCACAATAAATCAGTGTCAGACCACGGCGCAGCAAAATCACCATATTGCCACATTTCAACACTTTGACACCAATGCAATTATACCACATTGTCCAACTAAAACACTGCCATAAATGCACTTCATACAACATAGTTACACTAAAACACTGCCACATCAACACACTTCACACCACATTGTCTCACTGCCACCTCAATACACTTCACACCACATTGTCTCACTGCCACATCAATACACTTCACACCACATTGTCTCACTGCCACATCAATACACTTCACACCACATTATCACACTACCACATCAATACACTTCACACCACGTTGTCACACTGCCACATCAATACACTTCACACCACATTATCACACTACCACATCAATACACTTCACACCACGTTGTCACACTATAAACATCAATACAGTTAACACCACATTGTCACACTACCACATCAATACACTTCACACCACAATGTCACACTCCCACATCAATAAACGTCACACCACATTGTCTCACTGTCACATCAATACACTTCACACCGTTGTCACACTGCCACGTCAATACACTTCACACCACATTGTCACAGTACCACATCAAGACACTTCACACCACATTGTCTCACTGCCACATCAATACACTTCACACCACAATGTCACACTCCCACATCAATAAACGTCACACCACATTGTCTCACTGTCACATCAATACACTTCACACCGTTGTCACACTGCCACGTCAATACACTTCACACCACATTGTCACACTACCACATCAAGACACTTCACACCACATTGTCACACTGCCACATCAATACACTTCACATCACATTGTCACACTACCACATCAAGACACTTCACACCACATTGTCACACTACCACATCAAACACTTCACACTACATTGTCACACTGCCACACCAAACACTTCACACCACATTATGACACCGCCACATTAAAACACTTCACACCACGTTGTCACACTACACCATTGCCACAATACACTTTACACCACAATGTGGCACTACTACATCAACACACTTCACACCACATTGTCTCACTGCCACATCAATACACTGCACACCACAATCTCACACTACCACATCAATACACTTCACATCACAATGTGACACTACCACATCAATACACTTCACATCACAATGTCAAACTACCACATCAACACACTTCACACCACATTGTCTCACTGCCACATCAATACACTGCACACCACAATCTCACACTACCACATCAATACACTTCACATCACAATGTCACACTACCACATCAATACACTTCACATCACAATGTCACACTACTACATCAACACACTTCACACCACATTGTCTCACTACCACATCAATACACTTCACACCACAATGTCACAGTACCACATCAATACACTTCACACCACAATGTCACAGTACCACATCAATACACTTCACACCACAATGTCACACTGCCACATCAATACACCTCACACCACAATGTCACACTGCCACATCAATACACTTCACACCACAATGTCACAGTACCACATCAATACACTTCACATCACAATGTCACACTGCCACATCAATACACTTCACACCACAATGTCACACTGCCACATCAATACACCTCACACGACAATGTCTCACTGCCACATCAATACACTTCACACCACATGTAATGTCACACTAGATCACTGTCAGACCAATGCATTTGAGGGGTGACCATCAGTTAGGCTGGTATTTAATGATAGACGGCTTATAAACAAAGAAAAAATGGAAAAACCTCAAGATTAAATAATAAAGTTTGGGCTAACGAGGGAGGCGCGGTGCTGACATACTACAGCACAGAACGGACTGATATACATCTGACAGGGGGTAACAAAAACAACATGAGGGTATGCCTGAAATAGATTATCAACAACAATTGATATGGGTTAATAATGTTGTAACAATTGGAGGAAGCCGAATGTTCAAGAGGCGGAACAAAATGTACATAGCTGATAAAAAGATTAATTATCAATGATAGCTGGACTGTTCTGTTGTTTATATCAGTTCATTGTGGCCGGATGGGATGAGATATCATGGGTCTATTCGTTGACACTGTCACGCCAATGCATTTAACATCACGCTACAATACTGTCATACCAATGCACTTAACATCACGCTACAATACTGTCACACCAATGCACTTAACATCACGTTACATCACTGTTACACCAATGCACTTAACACCACATTGCCAAGCTGCAACACATGTCACACCAATGCGCTTAACATCACGCTACAATACTGTCACACCAATGCACTAAACATCACGCTACAATACTGTCACCAATGCGCTTAACATCACGCTACAATACTGTCACACAATGCACTTAACATCACGCTGCAACACTGTCACACCAATGCACTTAACATCACGCTACACTGTCACACCAATGCGCTTAACACTACATTTGCCAAGCTACAACACATGTCAAACCAATGCACTAACATCACGCTACAATACTGTCACACCAACGCACTAAACATCACGCTACAATGCTGTCACACCAATGCACTTAACACCACATTGCCAAGCTGCAACACATGTCACGCAATGCGCTTAACATCACGCTACAACACTGTCACACCAATGCACTTAACACTACATTGTCACACTACAACACACACCTTCTCTCACCCTAAACCTGCCCACCCCCCTCCGAGTTGCCCCTCCCACCTTCGTAATTGATCCTTCCGTCCCCATCCACATCAGCCTCCTTGATCATCTCGTTGATTTCCTGTTCGGTGACCTTTTGACCCTCCAAGGACACCATGACCTGCCGAAGCTCGGATCTACTGATGAACCCGTTATTGTCTTTATCAAACACTTTAAACGCTCTCAACATTTCACTGTCCGACTGCCGTTCATCCAACGCGTTTGCCATCATCGCTGCAAACTCGCTAAACTCGATTTTGCCGTTTTCTAAAGAAAATAATCTCAGTTTTTATTCATGTTCCCATTTTTCACCCATAGTCAGCAGCGTATTATGATTATATACATATTACATATATTTGTTTGTTTGATTGTTTGCTGTTTATCGCCGCTTTATGTTGTTTATATTCCAGCTATATAGAGGGGTCTGTAAATAATCGATTCTGGACCAGACAATCCAGTGATCTACATCATGAGCATCAATTGGGATACGATGATAAGTGTGGACCAACTCAGTGAGCCTGACCATCCGATTTTACGACAAGCCTGGTTTGCTGAAGTACAATTCTTACCCGGTTCTTCGCGGGTCACAAAGGTATCTGTATATATTCGTGAAATTGGATTATAATTTTCTTAATTTATATTCATACTATTATTATTGATACGTAAGCTATTGTAACTGAAACACATCTGTCGGCCTGACAAACACTCTAATACATGTCCCTCAAGTGAGTGAGTGAGTGAGTATGGTTTTACGCCGCTTTTAGCAATATTCCAGCAATATCACGGCGGGGGACACCAGAAATGGGCTTCACACATTGTACCTACGTGGGAATCGAACCCGGGGTTTCGGCGTTACGAGCGAACGCTTAAACCACTAGGCTACCCCACCGCCCCATGTCCCTCTTTACGAATACAAAGAGTGAGACCCATGTGTTCTATCTCGTCTTACTATTGGTGTCAACCTCCATGACGATGTCTGCCAGCTGACTTTCCGTCACCTCTCCACCAAGGCTGCGGATGACGTCGCCGAGTTCCACCGTGGTGATGGTGCCGTCACCGTCCTTGTCGAACAGATCGAACGCTTCCTGGTACTCTGAACACGGAGAACAGGGTATATCTCTCTTCATCTAGTGAGTGAAGGAGTTACGGTTTTAGGCCGCTTGTAGCAAGGGGGGACGCCAGAAATGTGCTTCACTCAGTGTACCCATGTGGGGAATCGAACCCGGGGTTACGGCGTCACGAGCAAACGCTTTTACCACTAGGCTACCGAACCGCCTCTTTTGATCAAGTGAGAGATTTGGGAATCGAACCCGGATTTTCGTCGTCATGAGCGAAACCAAGAATCACAATGACGGCGCACCAGGGCTAAAGTGAGTGAGTGAGTGAATATGGTTTTACGCCACTGTAAGCAATATTACTCCGGGAGGAATCAGAACTGAACCCACTGTTCTCGCACCTGTGAGAACCGTAGCTGTTAACATCGAATAACCCGATGGATAAATCATCAGAGATTGCGGAGGCAGAATCAGAAAAGCGGCGAGTTGATTCAATATTATATACAGCGTGCGAAATAGCCACTGACCCGCTAGCCCGTGGCTAGTAAAAATCCAGTCTGGCCAGAAAATCTCCAGGCCCGACTGGCTAGTGAATTTTCAATGGGTATTTGTGTAAATATATCACTCTATCCGACTTGTTAAGTTATAACACACCTTCAAATCATGCAAGACTATGGCCTGATAAAAATGTTCATCATATTAGCAGCTTAATGATGAAACCCGTGTCTACATTCAAATTTCGGATAAGTGAATTATATTGTGGGCTAGAAACGTTCAAGCTACGACTGGCTAGCAAAATTTGGAAACTATTTCGCACACTGCTTATATATGGTTGCTCTGTAATTTCTCATAAAATTGCACAATAACCTCTGTTGCGTTATTTTTACTTGTTTAAAATGCTCGTTTAAAATGACCTGAGAATTCCTGGCTCAACTGCAAAATAAGGACGTCATTATAAAGGCTTATAGCCCCTCATTTGACCTTGGGAACTAACGACATATCTCACCGATCAAGTTAAAACCTGTGCAGCGTTGTTATAACGGGTATTTACTTTATAGATAAAATTTGAATTTAAGATAATAAAGAGTATGTCAGCTAAAACCGGGTTGAATTACTTGAGCCAGTGATGCTGCCCTAGGTGGACATTATAATCATAAAACACCTCCAATGATACTCTAAAATACGTAATAAAATAGAAAATAATACTATGATAAAAATGAACATAAGATAAAAAAATTAGATAGAAAACATACCTGCCGTTTGTTTTCTGACAAATGCGCCTGCAAAATGTAGTTAAAACCTAGTGTCAGTATGTAAATCTGTACTTATGAATGCCTATCCTTATATAATGTTTGTACAGTTGTTAAATAGGGCATAATTATTCACATATATACCAGTAACAATGGCTGCCCTCTGTACACTGCTCAAACATATTGGAAACTAGGATTGACAAAAAAAGATATTGATTAGTCTGTTACATTTAACCATCACTTGTGAATGTCAATTCTGCATTATATAGAAAAATACTAGGACCATGTGTAACAGTACATACCATGTCTTGGTTCACCAATGATAAAGGTAACACTGGTGGAGATAAAAACACCTATCTTGTAACGTCGCCAGACTCTGATATCCGTTATCGCAATGCGCCAAGACTAAGGTAGGGAGCAGTCATTGTGGCGAAATGTGAATTAAACACGTGCGGATACGCATTGCGTCAGGGTCAGTCTTGATCGAAGCAGAGTGTCACACTTTCTGTTGTGTGGATGATAAGCGTAAACAGTGTTACCGTATACGACTGTGTAAGTAGTGGTTTAAAATTACCCAACCTAAACCCAAAATAACAAATCTCAAATCCCACACCCACCGCTCGCACCCCCCACAGCAGCCCCCACACCCACACCCACATCCAAATCCAAATCCAAATCCCAAATCCCAAACCTACACCCCACACCCCTCATCTCACAGCCAGAACCACAAACCCCGAACCCTCATTCCATTCGCGTTTACTTAAGCGACAACATGTGGTTCAAAAGCTGACAAGAGTGATATCAGCTTCACAAGTAAAAATAACATGACCATATATTGTCTGATAAAACTTTATTTATGATCCTGTCTATATATAACCGTAAGACACATGCAGACATGTCTGAATGTGTTTCATCAGGGCTATCTAGTCTTACACATGCAACACAAACGATGAAGCAGGTAAATACAATATATATTGCCTCATTATCAAGCATAACGGACAAAAGAACACAAAATGACATTGCTGTTTGTGTTGGGATTACTCTGAGAGTATGTGTTTCAGTTCACTTTGGTTTCTTCAATGCCACTTGTGAAAACTACCCCCGAACCGCACCGCGCCGCACTGCACACCTCACCGCACCGCACCGCACCGCACCGCACCGCACCGCACCGCACCGCACCGCACCGCACACGACACCGCGCCACACACGACACCGCATCGCATCGAATCGCACACGACACCGCATCCAATCGCACCGCACAACGCACACCGCGCACCGCACCCGACACACTTCTCAGACGCTACATAGACAGCAACACCAAACCTTCCTTTAGACAATCACATGGCCACCACTACCATGATACAACACCACCATACACCACCATGATACAACACCATCACACAACCACCATACACCACCATGATACAACACCACCACACAACCCCACGACACACCACATATTATGAACCACACCAAACACCATCACCCTCACCTTTATATGCAATCATGCCATTGCCGTCCATGTCTGCCTCTCTGATCATTTCCTCCACCTCGTTGTCGGTGAGTCGTTCACCCAGGCTGGTCATCACGTGGCGGAGCTCCGCGGCGCTGATGTAACCGTTCTGGTCGCTTAATCAAACTACAGCAAATGCATCCGGGAGCTCTTCCGCAGACTCTTGTCGCTTTCAGGGCCCGAGCCATATATGTCAAGAAGTCAGCAAAGTTTCAACAACCAGACCTTTCTCTGCCAGACGAGGCAAATCAGCACTTTACAAACACTGTATTTTGAAATAATTAATAATGATTCACAGAAATTTTGGGAAGATGTCGATTGAAGATGCTGTATAAATGAATTACGACGTTTCGGCCAAAACTGCATGGTGGTCTCAGAATCAGTAAGTGTAGTATGGTTTTACGCTGCTTTTAGCACTTTGCGGAATATCACCGCGGGGGACACCAGAAATGGGCTTCACACATTGTATCCGACTGGGGAATCGAACCCGTGTCTCGGCGTGACAGGCGGACGTTTTAACATGAAAAAATGACCATGACCTCGCTGGTTAAATGATATTGAGATAGATTAAATGAAATATTAGACACCGTATTCTATCCACATGTACTGGTTCCAGAGTCCCATATGGTGTCTCCCTAAAGTCAAGGCTGATGTACGGGCTTCAATATCAATAGTAGGTGCTCAAAAATTCCGTTGACCATTGTTGATCATAAACTGGTATTTAAGTGGCAAGTGGCAAGCTGGTGGTTGGTCAGTATGCAACAACTGCAAATGGCGGATGAGCAATGCAGAAAGTCACGACAAACAAAACATTTGCGACATATCTGCAACTTGCTTGTCTTGTTCATAAAGTAAGTGGATGAAGAATAAGTCTTTCTGAAAAAACACCATAGTTTTGACGTTCACATATACAAACAACAATTGATGTCATCTACTTGTGACGAAAACAGGCAGCAAATCTCGTTATAAATATCACACAAACATTTATGACTTTAATGAGAATGTAATTGATTCTGGTTGTCACGTACTCGTTTGATCCACCTCGTCTATCATCACCTGGAGCTCAGCGTCCGTGATAGCGCCCCCTAGCGATCGGATGGTCACCCTAGTTCCTTCGACGTAATGCGCCCGTCACCATCACGGTCAAACAGGCTAGAGGCTTCCCGAAACTCTACAGAGAAGTGGGGACACTTATTAAACTAACGGTACCAGAGTTTTGTACAACGTTATTTGCACAGGACATTGTGTTTTATTTTTTATTTTAGCGTATATGCCAATGTGCCTCCCCTCACCCAAAATGTCTTGGACGTGCATCACTTAGGTGAATCCCACTACCACAGGTATGGTCTGACAAACCAAGAACCATATTTATCAGGGCAAATCTTGGATTCGAACTCACGATCAAGGTTTTCAAGGGACGCAACACCGCACTGCGAATGTCGGTGCTTTGAATGACTTGGCTCTGCCACTACCCTAAGATTTTAAGGTTCCACTACAGTAAATCAGAATCACATGCTCCCTGAGCGAGCACCGTAACAACTGAAGAGACAGAGGTATGTGACAGCTGTGATTGGATGATATAGTGTGAGATGTTTATGCTTTTTAAAAGCACATCCATCCAGTAATTAAAACTGACCACATTTTAAGTATTTAGTGCTGTCATTTTTGTCACCATCACTTATGCTTATTCTGTGTACAGATATTTTCCAGTAGGTGACATTTGGTGCGGAACTGGGGTTGATGTGTTCCGCTTCCTGTGCTGGGAAAATGAGCCGGACAATTTGGCCAGAAATTGTGTTATATTGTGGTTGAAAGGCCTGACTATAGCCATGTGTACCTGGAATGGCTGTTGATAGCCTGGATAATTTGTGAAAAAAATAAAAAGGTTACTATAGAAGTCTATGGGAAAACATTTGGTGTTGTGTAACCTTAAGCAGTTGTGTCAGAGTGGTTCTTTCACGTTATTGCAGTGAGTTTGTACCACCTGTTTTCGCCATTTGCTCCTAAGACTTCAGTTTAGATTTTTAAATGGAATTGAATAAAGCCATTACAGCCTATTAGCTTTTTTCATTTTCCATATCTATATCCACTCTATGACAATTTAATACAAAAATTTAACTCAGTATGCGAATATTCCATGACTTGCTCGAACTAATATGCCGTTGATCTACACAACTGATATTATTTATGGTCACTCTACTTTCCATTCCCCCCTTTCAAAACCAATGATTTTTAAAAATAATACTGTACCTGATAGTTGCTCTTCTGTGAACTGACTCTGAAAAATATGTACTTTGTATAGAACAAGTGTTATCAACCATATATTTGTTCAAATTTTCTGTCGTCAACCCATCACAGAGTATACATACATATGCCTTGAACAATTACGTAACGACACACGTGCGCAGGCAGCCTTGCTCCAAGGCTGTACTGAATGCTAAGCCTATGGATGTATAGTAATTCTATCCTTAAAGGGACAAGTCTAGATAATTGGACAGTACCAGGAGTGAGTGAGTTGCGCCGCTTTTAGCAATATTCCAGCAATATCACGGCTGGCTGAGACATAGGCTTCACACATTGTACCCATGTGGGGAATCGAACCCGGGTTCGGCGTGACGATGGAACGCTTTAACCACTAGGCTACCCCACTGGTCTGTTAAAGGGACAAGGTGTTAATTGTATTTATTATATATATATATATATAATATATATACACACACACACACACATATATATATATATATATATATACACACATACATATATATATTACATACATATACATATATATATATATATATATAATATCATATATATATATATATATATATATATATATTAAAGAAATTATCATTTAAACCATTACTTACTACCTTAGAGTAATGTGCAAGTCTTATATATATACATGTGTGTGTACCAGTATATTAACAACGACCCTGTATTAACAGGCACTGTGACTTTTTTATCAGGAAAATACATGCTAGGACTTCCTGGTGGGTTAGCGTTGTCTGTCTTACTTATCAGGAGACCCGATCGCTGAGTCTACAATCGACAGACCTCTTACAAACTTAGGTGTGTCTCTTATCTAACACTAAGACACATGCAACTCAATGGTATCATAAGTTTGCACCTAAAATCTATGGGGTTAAATTTGAGCTTGAAGTTCGTAATATGTATTGATTACTTCCTCTTTGGTACATGATCGTTCATACCTGCAAAGATGTATTTATGTACATAAGGTACGGGTTGTAAATTCACTCAGCCCTGCATTTTTATTATATGCCTTAATAACATGTAATGTTATTTTTTATGTTTATATCAAATCAAACTACAGCCTTAAATCTCTAAATCTTGGGAACATATAATTAGGTTTGCGTGTTCCCTTGATCTTAATTAATGTAGGTAGCTGGAATATATACATAGGTATATGAAGGAACTTACCATTTTGATCTTGAACCTGGGCTGTCAATGTTTAGTTTGATACAGCCATCAAAAGCTCAAGCGTATATGATACCTTGAGGGTATCTATCGAGGGAGTACTCATTGCTTCAAATTGTTGGCATAGCGTAGCGCGGTCATCACAGGTCATAGCATTCCGCTGGCAGATGATCACATTGATCAATTTGTCCTACATGTTGGTATATGATAAATAAGGCTGATTTCACGTGGAATCTGTGTCATTTGGATAAGGGGAGTTAAACAGTGCAATAATATTAGTGCTGTTCGTGTCCTTTAGAAATTTATATCATGGGGTGATGAACTGACTACTGTCACGTGTAGACAATCGGGGTCCCGCAACACAAGGGATCCGGAAAATCCGGGTGCCGCAACACAATGTCCGGATATTCGAGGTCCGCAACACAAAATGTACGGATAAACCAGTTCCGTAACACAAGGTGTCCGGATAATCCGGTTCCGTAACACAAGGTGTCCGGGTAATTGAGTTCCGCAACACAAGGTGTCCGGATAATCGAGGTCCGCATTGAAGAGGTTTCACTATTCTTAGATACGAATGTATCTAGGTCAAACACACATTGACGTCATGAGAAGCAATTACATAATTTCACTTGGAAAATAGATAGGTTTAATTGTGACCGTGACCAACATAAACTTGAATGAGTTTTCGGCGTTGACAATGACTGCTCCCTGTGTATTTGTGAACAAGCAGACGACATAATTGTTTAATCTTTGTCGCAGTGTCGAAGTTCAAGCCTTTTATCTCTCAATATGCGACAAGTTGCCATGGAGATATGCAAATCAACAGATATGCATATTTCGCGATAATGCAACACAAGTGTACACACTTGTCTATACAAGACACTGGTGGCATACACTGGTTTTACTACAGACTGTAGCCAGGTCACACGGCAATTCAGGATATGGATATCAAGAATTAGTGGTTATATCTTTCCATAGAGATAGGGTTTTATCTAAATTTTCTTTGTAAAAGTAAGTGAACTTTTGGGTTCACTTTGGAATGCTGGGTTCTGTTTTGAAATTTAATGTTAAGTGTGTAGATACCGATTCGGGTAATTTTTGCGAGTTAATTAGTGAAACAAAACTATGTACAAAAATAAAAAACACATGAACGACAATTTATCCACGTGGGTGTCGAACCAATATTATCGAAGTTAATTCCCAAACTGAGTAACGACCATCGCTCAGGCAATCACGACTGGTGGTCATAGAGTTACCTCCCTTACAACGGTGACCGTCATCAGAAGCCTCGGCCTGCCACTGCTAATTCACTTTATGAGATCATTCGTAATTGTCTAAGTTTTATTTAAACCTTTTACAATATTATGATAACGTGCCTCGTTTATATACGTATACCCTATGATACTAGGTGACGTAACACAGACATATGAGCAACACATAAGCGATATCATAAATGCCTTGCATGTGATGATACGAATAGGTTTCGGGATCATTGCATTTTTTAGATTTTTTACTTTATTTTTTCGAGTTATTTATTTTTTTGCATTTTTTGTTTTCGACAACCGTATAAGTGCTACATTCCCACTTATCGACAACAGCAAATTACGAATTAAAAAATTCTAATAATTAAAATGATAAAATAGATAAAAAATAATTTATCAAAAGCATTAATATTTTTTTAACCAACTGAATTTTTTTCGGAAACTAAAATCTGCAGAAAATCTACACGAGGCCATTGCGTTGACGGATTTGCCTACAAGACAACTATAGCTTGAAAAACGTATACATATATTCAGTGGCGTTTGCAAGAGTAACCCTTGAGGATAATTGGCCATTATTATCTTGAGATGGCTTTGCTACAGCTGTAGCCCCACGACAAATATGTCAGTTTATTATTTCCACATGGGTGAGCAGGGTTATGCTGAAAGTATCACCACCAATAAAGAACCCCGCTATAACACGGATTTGAGGAGTGCCGACTTTCAGTAGTACCGCTTGTCGACGTTAGCGACAACCCCCATATAACTGACAGAAAGTTTGTGAGTGTGGCTTTACGCTTTTAGCAATATATTTCAGCAATATCACGGCGGGGGACACCAGAAATGGGCTACACACATTGTACCCATGTGGGGAATCGAACCTGGGTCTTAGGCGTGACGAGCGAACGCTTTAACCACCAGGCTACTCTACTCCACCAGGCTGAAGTGGATGCGCGAGGTTTGATATATGAAAAAAGCAACAACAATAAAAATAAAAAAATCTACACTCTTGTTATCTGCTAACCCACTTTTATAGGTATATATCAATCAATCAGTCATTTATTGTCCCACTTACCCAGAAATACCATCTGCGATTTATACACGTTATAAATTTCCACTCTGGAGACCGAGACTGTAAATACGCTGCAGATATTGCAGCAACGGCTCCATTTCAGAAGGAGCAGGAATTCTATAAATCATTGCATCAAATTGTTCCATCTCATACCTTTCATCTGTGTCAGGAGCTTTCATATGTAAGTATATGACCATTGCAGTTAAATCAATGATTTGATGTTGACACATACCACTTCCTTATTCCACGCGTCTTGTTTACAGTGACTTGGAGTGAGTTTACTTTTTTGCCGGTTTTAGCAATATCCCAGCAATATCACAGAAATGAGTTTCACATTGTACCCATGTGGGAATCAAACCAGAGCCTTCGGCGTGACGAGCGAACGCTTTAACCATTAGGCTACCCACCGCCCTTTTTAGTGCGATTGGATTCCAAAGGTCATATGGTTACATACAAATGAAAGATCGTGACTAAGATGGAAGGGTTATTCGATAAAAAACATATAACTTCAATTCATCACTTTTTCACATATACATAAGTTCATGCTATTTCTTTCAGTATCTGTTATCAAAGTGGTATATGGCGAATCTACACAATCCGAGGTTAGCGTGTTATTGGCTCGACAATCCCAAGCCCTGGTCCACATGAGATACATTCAAATAGTCTTTGCTTGTTCGTAAATAAATATTGTTTTAACCGGGGCGGTAACCTAGTGGTTAGTTGAAACGTTCGCTCGTCACGCCGATCACCAGGTTTCAATTCCCCACAAGGGGTACAATGTGTGAAGCCCATTTCTGGTGTCCCCACCGTGATATTGCTGGAATATTGCTAACAGAGACTTAAAAGCTAAACTCACTCACTCATTTTAAACCACTTCGATAATGCGTTTCGACGTCGACTGCCGAAAGCCAATGTCGAGGCGTTGGTGCAACATTTCAAGTCTTCATTTCTATATTGTGGATAGTCACTACGTTCGTAATTCCTATCATAATTGATGTGACTATCATTAGCCGGTATTTTAAAACCAAGACATTTTTGGACATTCTAAATAATGGCCAGTATTACATATAAGCACCAATAACTAAAGATGGGTCCGGTGCAGGACACTGGGGTAGTTTAAGTATCAATGACCCGCAAAGCGGTCCTGGTGCCTTATAGCCCGTGACACCGGGTGTCATCACTGATTTTCAGTCATAGAATAATTTTCACAGCTATTTCCCCCTTTACACATAACGGAATTCGTTTCTGAGGATGGTCAAGACCAGGTATTCTTGTGCATTACCGTTTTATATTTAATTCAACTGGGGCGATTTTCTGCTAGTGGACTGATGTAGCATATTTAAGTAGGCTGAGTCAAATGAGTCAAGAAATGTTTGGTCCAAGACATTACAACTGACCCCTATTTCTGTTGTAAAACAAATCTATTCCCCTAACGTTTTTCTTTATTTAAATGCATCGGAATCTCTGTATTTCCAAACAGCAGTCGGAAATCTAAATCATCTAACTGGATTCTCCATCAATCACTTGATTGTCTGGTTTGTTTACAGGCCGCCGTCGCAAGGCAAAAGTACTGCTATGGTGTGTCAGTCAAACAATGTATCCATTTTTAGGCAAAATGTAATGTTGTGACTGTCAGGTGCTGCCGGTAAGGCAGGAAATGAGACCGTTACCGCGAACACCCGGTATTATATGTGTTCAATTCACGTAATGTTTACAGTTATTTTCCCTTCACACTGACTGACTGACTGAGTTTGGTTTTACGCCGCTTTTAGTAATATTCCAGCAACATCACGGCGGGGAACACCAGAAATGAGCTTCACATTGTACCCATGTGGGGATTCGATCCCGGTCTTCGGCGTGACGAGCCAACGCTTTAACCACTAGGCTACCCCACCGCCCCTCCTTCACACGAAAGGAATTTGTTTCTGATGATAGTCAAGACTGGGTATTCGTTTGCACTGACGTTCAATATTTATACTGTTATAAATACTATTTTTATGTGAAAATCAGTATGACAAATTTCTTTTCTAAAATATGACTAAGTTGTTTTGACGCACTTGCGTATAAGTAAATGACTTCGTCGCTATATGCCTAAACTAAAGTCAAGATATATTTTCTTGGATTTTGACTTGCTTAGAACATAGCTTTATGTCATCTATAATTTATTACATAACGTTAATACAAACCCGTGAAGGTCCGGGTTAGAATTGATCTTCAGCAACCCAAGCTTGTCGTAAGAGGCGACTAACGGGATCGGGTGGTCAGGCTTGCTGACTTGGTTGACATATGTCATCAGTTCCCAGTTGCGTAGATCGATGCTCATGATGTTGATCACTGGATTTTCGGGTTCAGATTCGATTATTTACAGACCGCCGCCATGTAGGTGGCGTATTGCTGAGTGTGGCGTTAAACAAACAAACAAACAAACAACGCTGATATAGGTTTGTGAATCACGTCTGTGGGTGTTGAGTGATGCACGTGAGCGTCCTTGGTGACAACACTCCTATCCTTGGAGGTCTCACGGAACAAGTACAACGTTAATTCGGGCTATGTCTCTTGTTACTAGAGGGAAATACCTCAGTCTCTGTCATTAAAAGTTCATTACGGTTACACAAACACCGGATAAAAGCAACTTTGCACCCAAGCAAGTTTATACATCTCTTAGACTACACTGGAATTATGTACCATCAATACCCCGAATATTCAAGGGGCGGTGGAATAGCCTAGTGTAGACAGGGTTCGATTCCCCACATGGGTACAATATGTGAAGCCCATATCGGGTGTCCCCGGCCGTGATATTGCTGGGATATTGCTGAAAGCGGCGTAAAACTATAGTCACCCACTCGAATATTCATGGTATGTTTACTTGAACAGTTTCATGTGATTATTTACAGAGTGTGGCCTAAACAACGAGCAAACATACAACAACACAATGCATAATTAATATTCAAATATTCAAATATATGTCCTATCGGAGAATATTAAAAACAAGTTCGGTTAATTCTGCAAATAAGTAATCTCCGAACCAATATTTCTACCATATGTTGTCGAGTTATGATGTTTCGATTCCCATTCACACATGAATCCAACAGTAAAATATACCTAACAACCGCTATACCACCAAAGTAATTTATGTTTTCGTTTGTTTGGTGTTTAACGCCGCTCTCATCCAAGCTTTAAGACGTCTGTATGTAAATAAAGAAGTCTGGACCAGACAATCCAGTGAATCACATCATGAGCATCGATATAGGCTATTAGGAAACGATGACAGTGAGCTTAATCTTGTAAGTCCATACAGTGCCCGCCCGGACAACCCCTCCCTTAACGCCTATATCCTTTCACTGCTGTGGCCGACCGGACAACGCCTCCCTTAACGCCTATATCCTTTCACTGCTGTGGCCGACCGGACAACCCCTCCCTTAACGCCTATATCCTTTCACTGCTGTAGCCGCCCGGACAACCCCTCCCTCAACGCCTTATTGTTTCACTGCTGTGGCCAACCGGACAACCCCTCCTTAACGCCTATATCCTTTCACTGCTGTAGCCGCCCGGACAACCCCTCCTTAACGCCTATATCCTTTCACTGCTGCCGCCAGGACAACCCCTCCCTCAACGCCTTATTGTTTCACTGCTGTGGCCGACCGGACAGCCCTTCCCTCAAAGCCTTATTGTTTCACTGCTGTGGCCAACCGGACAACCCCTCCCTTAACGCCTATATCCTTTCACTGATGTGGCCGCCCGGACAACCCCTCCCTTAACGCCTATATCCTTTCACTGCTGTAGCCGCCCGGACAACCCCTCCCTCAACGCCTTATTGTTTCACTGCTGTGGCCAACCGGACAACCCCTCCCTCAACGCCTATATCCTTTCACTGCTGTGGCCGACCGGACAGCCCCTCCCTCAAAGCCTTATTGTTTCACTGCTGTGGCCAACCGGACAACCCCTCCCTTAACGCCTATATCCTTTCACTGCTGTAGCCGACCGGACAACCCCTCCCTTAACGCCTATATCCTTTCACTGCTGTAGCCGCCCGGACAACCCCTCCCTCAACGCCTTATTGTTTCACTGCTGTGGCCGACCGGACAGCCCCTCCCTCAAAGCCTTATTGTTTCACTGCTGTGGCCAACCGGACAACCCCTCCCTTAACGCCTATATCCTTTCACTGCTGTAGTCGACCGGACAACCCTCCCTTAACGCCTATATCCTTTCACTGCTGTAGCCGCCCGGACAACCCCTCCCTCAAAGCCTTATTGTTTCACTGCTGTGGCCAACCGGACAACCCCTCCCTTAACGCCTATATCCTTTCATTAATGTGGCCGCCCGGACAACCCCTCCCTCAACGCCTAGTTGTTTCACTGCTGTGGCCGACCCCTCCCCCCTTCTCCTTTCACTGCTAGTGTGTTTGCTTTGTACAATTTGTAAGGAGATACGCAGTATGTTATTAAAGATTGCCATTAATCCGAGCAAATCCTTCCCGGTATGTTAATCCCAAGTCAGGATGCCGTAGATATACATGTACAGATGGTCAGATGAGGCCCAGCAAGTTCTGCAAGTCCGCTCGTATTATTGAGTTTCTGAGTCGAGTGCATGTTATAGCGAGGAGTGTTGGTTAACAAATACTAGTACTGCCTTGCCGCTGCCCAGCTCGTTGACTGTGTTGCAATGGTGAGTATTACCTGACAATATTTACCCACTAAAACCACCTAGATATATCATATACAGTTTCGATAAGTGGTTAGTTGTTAATAATTACTCAAGCGTTGTTTCCATGTAACAAAATATGTAAATAATGTTATTCGGAGGGTGTTTCGTTTCATTACTTGAGAAATGGGGACACGGTTTTCGTGTGTAGTATTACGTTATCAGCGACAGTCCGACTGTGCTGCTACACTTAAGTTTTTTTAAGCTGTGTTAGTAGCAAATATTTGAAACACTATGGCTTCACGTTTATTCGATATGCTGCAGAACAGTGTCTTAATTTCTTCTTTCACACCAGTCATATCGAACACATTCCTAATATACTCCACATGGGTACAATGTATGAAGCCCATTTCTAGTGTCCCCCGCCGTGATGTTGTTGGAATATGGCTAAAAGTGGCGTAAAACCAAACTCAGTCAGTCAGTCCTAATATACTCCTTACGAGTTAGTCTTAAGCATAGTGAAGATTACAATGTCTTTAACAAAGATTAATATCACAATGACCGTTGACTTCAAAGTACAAAGGCTTTTAATGTGACCGCTGAGCACGATAAAGGATTATCAACGCACATGTATAACGGGATCGTGTAGACTAAGCCTTTGATGTAAACATGTTTGTCAACATTGGTATTTCGTTCACATCGTTTTTAACTATATGACGCATGATTTAAATAAATGTAATACTATTTTTTTTTACGGTTATATATTTCAGGGCAATATATTTCAAGTGATTAACGACAACACGTTAATATTTTATTAAATATTTCATTTATGTGTGTTAAAAGGTGTGGCAAGTATGCTATAATGATATGGGTTCAGAGCTAGAGGAACAGTCCACCGTTGCCTAATAGATTTATGAAGGAAGTAGTATAAGTGATTTGACACACTCTGATAACAGGCCCGATACAGGTGCAAGTGTAGAGCAACCTGCTTCAGTTAGGTTAGACTAAGGCTTAGTCTCTGAATATATATAATTTTGATAGTAACAAACAAGCCCATTTATATTGAAAAGGAGCCTAGGGAGACCAGAGATTCAGACCTGAACCTGAGGAAATCTAGACTTGCTTTATTTAGGGCTTTAGCACAGCAGAAGTAGGGCTTGGCAGTAGGGAAATTATTGTGGTTCAGGGACTGTGAGACTACGGTTAGGTCAGTGATGTCATGGACGCAAATGGCCACACTACCTGGTTAACCTAGAACATTTGAAGCTAATCGGAAATGCACATTGTTAGTTTTTGTTTTGTTTGTTTGAACTCCGCACTCAACAATAATCCAACTATATGGCAGCGGTATGTAAACAATCGAGTCAACAGCATGCGCATCCATCTACGATGACATGCGTCGACCAAGTCAGCGAGCCTGACCACCCGATCCTGTTAGTCGCTTCTAAACAGAAGCACTGTTTGCTGAAGACCAAATTCTAACCCCGATTATATTGTCAGAAAATATCATTACATTTAAACTGACATTATGGGTGTTTTTCGTCCCGTTTTTTTTTACATTGTTGACTAAGGTATATTAACTTTCTTTTTTACGCACCTGCGAAAAATCTACTTTTATGTGTAGTTATTTTTTAAAAAAATTAAAAATTAAATTTTAATTTTTTTTATTTTTTTTAATTTTTTTTTTTTTGGGGGGCTCTTATAACGAGTATCCCTTGTTTTGTTTGTTTGGTGTGCAGATACGGAAACAAACACGTGAGACACACGTGTATCACAAACCATCAGACCCGTGAAGATCCCGGTTAGAATTGCTCTCAGTGTGAAAGTGAAATAAAACTTCTTGCCAACATTTCTAGTTAGGCATAGGCGGATCAGAGGGTTGCAGTGTGGTGCGCACTCCCCCACCCCACCCCTTTGTCCTGAATGTTTATTAATAACCATTGAAACTCCCCTTCCTCAACAGTGTGCACCCCACCCTTCTCAAAAGCTGTATCCGGCCTTGCTATAGGAGTTGCACCATATTTGAGGTGTGTTACATGAAAAGTATGTCAAACAGCAATGTTTGATTATCATATCAAACTACACCGTTGTCTCATCTCACATTCATTTTCTCAACAAAAATACCCCATCAAAATCACCTAAAAATGTTGCGGGCTAAAGAAGTCACCGCGATAACGTTCCCGACCTATTATCACATCGCCAAAACGCACCCGTAATGCCGTAAACCGACGCCCCTGTCCAAATACGGTTAGCGCGGCTAGCACAGGTCATGTCTATATGTTTCAATAAACCACATCGGAACAATTATCCCCACATCTAGCAACACCCTCAGGTCACCTAGCTCGCTGGATAAACTCATGAGGGCGTTGAGCGGCAAACGTTCGCGGCCCTGATTGTCGTACATCTATAAAAAAAATAAACAGACACATTTTTTAGCGCTTTATTGATCGCGGCCCCTTGCGTTTAGAAAACACATCAATTAGTCCGAGCGGGTCATTCGTAACCAACTCGCATTCAAATAGTTTGTCGTAATTTCGCACATAACATCATCGCATGGGGTGGGGTTGGGGTGGGGGTTTCTTGCAGGTTACGAAAAGGGGGATAGTGATGGCGAATGCAAGCATGTAACAATGAATTCAAATTAAAGGGCATTACCACAATAACCAGTTTATATCTAAAACATCGGCTGTCTGTGTTTCAACACATTTATGATGTACACTACCGGACAAAATATACCTACTCTTGAAATTTTGATTCGGCAAGACCATTATAAACGTTACTATCCAGTGAGACTTATTGATATGATGCACGTATGTGTCCATTGATACGACTGTCAAGCGTTGCCTCGAACGGCAATTTATTGTTTGTTTCGTTTGCAATCAACATAAAAGACACGATGTATACTTTATTTTACCCTTCAGTGTATTTAAGGCATCTCGATTGAGTGTGTACAGTACATAATGAAAGGTGAGGTGAGGTGAAGTGGGTTTTACGTCGTGCTTGAGATATTTCGCTCATATGACGACGTGCATGCGTGTGTATGTGTATGTGCGGCTGCTTGTACTAGCCCAGACTGAAGCTGGTTTTATAGTGCTAGCCCACTGAGATACCATGCGGCAGTGAAGCATGAATACCCCACTCAGACACATTATATTGACTCCGAGCCGACCAGTCCTTGTTGTACCCATTAATGCCGAGCGCCAGGCGAGGACCAACAAGTACCATATTTTAACGTCTTTTGGTATGACGCGGTCGGGGATCGAACCCGCGACCTTCCGCTCTCGGACATAATGACAGATTCGTATATAGTGGAGAATACTGTTCGCACACAATATTTTTCATTGTCTGTTATTCAAAGCCAAAGTCAGCAATACTAGTACTCAGAACCGTCAGAACCAGATCCATTTCGCTCCATATTTTTGGGTACATTTTGTTGCCCCTGGCGACCAGCATAAGTTGCTGGTAATAGTTCCGCGGTTAATGTAACACTTAAGAAGTGAAAAGCAAATGTTGCTCCAAGAACGGAGTGAGTGAGTGAGTATGGTTTGACGCAGCTTTTAGCAATATTCATGCAATATTACGGCGGAAGACACCAGAAATAGGATTCAGAAAATGTACCCACTAGGTGAATCTGGTCTTCCTGGGGCTCCTTTTCAATTTGAGTGGGTATGTCTGTTACTATCAAAAATGATAATATTCAGAGACTATGCGTTTGTCAACCCACCCCCTGCGCCGAAAAGAAAAGATTAATACATCTCAGATGCCCGGGCATGGTGCTGTGTGTGTGCTCCAACCTTTTCCTGGGGTTCTAATCATAAGTTGTTGTTTAGTGAATCATGTCCAAAGCCTTAAGGGGCGGTGGGGTATCCTAGTGGTTAAAGCGTTGGCTCGTCACGCCGAAGACCCGGGTTCGAATCCCCACATGGGTACAATGTGTGAAACCCATTTCTGGTTTCCCCCGCCGTGATGTTGCTGGAATATTGCTAAAAGCGGCGTAAAAACCAAACTCAGTCAGTCAGTCAGCCAAAGCCTTAAATATAGCGCCAACCATGTGATTATTGTTATTCTGGAGAACTTTGATCATAAGAAAGATCCTAACGGATTCTCATCGTGCAGTCAATATGATAAACACGCTATTGCGTGTATCAAGAGGCATCTAGTAATCGCATCGCAAGCTGCTGAATTGTTGGTTAATCTTTACAAGTTATAATTTCATCAGTGACGCAGAGGTATATTAACAAAAGTCAAGCATACACTACTCTATCGCGCTGCCGTATTGCTTCAACGTCAATCAGTGAGTTTCAAACGCCCGACGGGAGGTCTCGTTAAAACCGAGTTACATTTCTGTGATCCCCCTGTACAGAAACAGATTTATTTTTACACCAGCAATAACGTATGCAAAAATAAATATTTAAGACCTAGAGATAAGAAAGTCTTCCCGTGACATAGAGTCTATGCAATTTCATTACTTTCATAGCATTTGTGTATGAGTAACTGAACGTTACTTCGAGGGAAGGCCGAAGTGACGCAGGTCAAGAGGACATATCTTGTTTTCAGTTATCGTCCTCGCCTGTCGCAGAATCAGGAATTTCAGCATATTTCCCAATGTTCCGGACACTTAGGGTTAACAGTTAGTTACGCTTTACAGGTGAGCGAGCGATTATAATTTTACGCCGCATTTAATAATAATCAATCATTATCGAACGCTCGCATAACTAATTTTACCAAGAGATGTATCGAACCCTGGCATGGGCCTGACAAGCGAACGCCTTAACCACCAGGCTAACCCAATGATCAAAGGTGGAGAGGAATGTGAATACATTCCTATTTACTTTCTAATCGTAAAGCAGATAATCAGGTTGCCCCAGTTTCACCTGCAATAAACCCGCCCTGACACATTACACTGTATCACAACAGGTAGCAGTTGAACAACAGGACCGCCATTGAACAGATGGCATGCTGAAGTCGTTCTGACGTTATCACAAGAACGCTGTCGGTGCCGCGCGTTAAGGTTTCAAAAGAAATATAGATTTACCTGAAGTCACAATCACACAATGCAGGTGTCAGGTGGTATGGGATGAATGGTATTACTTCCTCAATAGCAATGTTCCCCGTTATAACACTAGATATCCGAAATATGTTAAACTTAAAACCCGTACACTACCCTCTCACGTATGGATCGTGTAGATTACTGAGGGTGGGGGAATCGGTGGGGTAGCCTAGTGGTTAAAGAGTTTGCTCGTCACGCCGAAGACCTGGGTTCGATTTCCCACATGGGCACAATGTGTGAAGCCCATTTCTGGTGTCCCCCGACGTGATATTGCTGGAATATTGCTAAAAGCGGTGTAAAACCATACTCACTCATACTCGCACAAAAATTATAAACTAACTATTCAATTTACCGTTATGGTTTTCTTTTCTTTTCTTTTCAGGCAAACGCACCGATCTCAGTCCCAGGTATGTTCACCCAGCAGAAAATGGGTACCCGGTTGGATAAAGTCATGTGACTATAACCTTCTAGCGCCTAACAGGCAGCTTGGGTTATCCGGGGTAATAATAATCAGGGTGTTAGCACCTTGAGCATGCTTTGTTGCAAGGAGATTAGCGCATTATAAGACTTGTCATTATTATTATTATTATTATTATTATTATGTGTGCTTTCAGTTGTGATGAGGAAGAAACTACTTCCTTTCCGGTTACTTTCTCTCTCATAGAAAAGGCGGGTGAATGGATTTTGTATGTCGATCTGATGTTTTCCAGCTACGGCTATGGGCTCAAAAACAATCATTAAACACCTCTTTCCACAATGAATAGTTTGGGGCAGGTAATTTATTTATGCAGTATTTGAAGGATAATGATAAACAACCCTTGTTATTCAAACTAGTCTTGTACAGGGAAGACACAGCGGTTAAAGCCGCCAGAACTTGCCTCCCATGATCGTGTCAGGATCCGCTTCAGTGTTAATCCCGGCCCTGAGTCGCCCAATTATGACTTTGGTCTGTCAGAGATTCATTATGGTTATTAAGTAAAACCTTGGGATAAAGCGTTATGCCTCGTAATAGTTTAAATTGATCATGAATTCAGATGTCATAATTGTTTAATCTGAACTTCTATTTTTTCAGAAGTGTTCAAAATGTTTGACACTGATGGCGATGGCTACATACCAGCCAATGAAATTGGTACTCCCGTCCGGGCACTTGGTCACGTGATCACTAATTCAGAACTGGCGGCGCTGCTGAGAAGCGTTCAAGTTGACAGTGAGTAATGCCTGAGAATCGAGGGTCTGTTGTAATGCTAGCTAGCTGCATAGTAATGCTTGGTATTATGATCAAAAAGCAGTACTATTCCTTTTCGTCATAGTAAGCTGAAGTTAATACTTAAATTCCTTAAATTAAAATACCATATTCCATAATTCAAAGAGAATGACAACAGCTGGACACTCATCCAGGATTTACCCTTGTCGCCAATACTTAGAATCATCACTAAAATTAGTTATCCATTAAATATAATTATCGTTGACTTTTACGCCCAATGGAATCTGATTAGGATCGATACTTCAGTTAGAGTTTCAATGAATTTGGAGGGAATGTTATTCATGTGATCCGGCCAAGTAAATCACTTCACTTCGAATAGAGTTGTCGCCCCTGGTCGTGCCAGGATGCGCTGATCGTGGGATCTAATCTCAAATTCGTACAAAGCATAGTCCATGGTACTTAATACCAGATCTGTGAATGAGGATTTCAGTAAAGTGCTATGTGATGGATTTATGCTGTAAGAGTTTTCAAAATGACACAAACTCAAGCTAATGTGTCATTTTGTGGATGATGGATTTGCGCATCAGCTTACATCGTGTGATGGTTACTGTCCAGACTCCTGGCTCCAGGTTACAAAGATGGGTTCTGAGACATGAAGATCCGGGTTATAACTGAATTTCAGCAACCCATGCTTGTCGTAAGAGGCGACTAACGGGATCAGGTGGTCAGGCTCGCTGAGTTTGTTGACACATGTCATCGTATCCCAACATGCTGTTGATCGATGGATTGTCTGGTCCAGATTCGATTATTTACAGACCGCCGCCATATAGCTGGACTATTGCTGGATGTGGCGTTAAACAAAAAACAAACAAACAGACAGCGACAAGTTGGTGTTGTCCTAAGGTGAGCCTAATTGGAATTGGCGGCCAGGATTGGTTCATTGCGTGCCATCGTCAGTTGGAAACGTCGTAGAATATATACATTTCTGGAGATTCACATATTTAGGGGCCAACGTACACGAAATACTAACATAGCATCGAAGAATAAAAAAAGCATGACCCCATACATTATGATGCCAGTACGTCGAAAGAAGAAGTTTTCGACACACAAGACTGACTGACTGAGTTTGGTTTTAGGCCGTTTTTAGCAATATTACAGCAATATCACGGCGGGGGACACCAGAAATGGGCTTCATTCATTGTACCCTTGTGGGGATTCGAACCCGAGTCTTCGACGTGACGAGCCAACGCTTTAACCACTAGGCTACCCCACCGCCCCTCGACACACAAGAAACAAGTAAAAGGATATAGTGCAGGGTTCCAGGGGGTGACATCTGATTATCAAAACATTTCTTGCTCATTCCAAGCGATTACGCAGTGAGGCGTGCCCAATCCGCAGATTAAGCAAGCAAGGTCGCGGTTGACGGGAATGGGGCAATACCTTTGCGTAATTCACGGATTGGACAATTCCGTATATTACCCACGACATATAAAACTCTTCTATCACATACAGAACGCGGGAAGGTGGATATGAAGACGTTTCAGAGAATGGTGGACTCAATTCAACCGGCAGACACCAACAGTCAACTCAAAGAGGCCTTCGAGATCGTTGACAGAGAAGGCAGTGGGAACGTGAGCGCCACAGAACTGCGCCATCTGTTGACGAGCATGGGAGACAAAATGACGGATGACGAGTTCAACGTGCTGTTGCAGGAGCTGGACATAGACAGAACAGGGAACATCAAGTGTTCAGGTGCGGAGTGAGTGAGTGATCGTGAGCGAGTTTAGATCTACGCCGCCTTTAGCAATATTCCTGCAATATCACGGCGGGAAACACCAGAAATGGGCTTCACACATTGTACCCATGTGGGGAATCGAACCCGGGTCTTAGACGTGACGAAAAAACGCTTTAACCACTAAGCTACCCCACGGCCCCGGAGTGGAGCGTTGTATTGCCATCCAGGAACTAGTGAGTGAGTTCGAATTTTTGTCACCTCGGCAATATTTCAGCCATACCATTACTAAAACCACCCCGGAGAGCGGAAGGTCGCGGGTTCGATCCCCGACCGCGTCATACCAAAAGACGGTAAAATATGGTACTTGTTGGTTCCTGCCTGGCGCTCGGCATTAATGGGTACAACAAGGACTGGTCGGCTCGGAGTCAGTATAATGTGTCTCAGTTTGATATAACGTTTTCACTTGTAAACAACATGAACAAACATATATATTTAACTCCGAAATGGAAACCTCAAATACATTCCAGAGAGTAGGGGAATAGAATGGTGTTTATTTGTGTGTTTTTGTGTTGGTATATTTTGTTTGTGTTGGTATATATTTTTTTGTAAATCCAGAGCGATCTCATTTCAGTGCTTTTCAAATAATATATTTCTATCACAGATTTCATCTACCTAATGACCAGATAACCTGAGTGGGTTACGTGACTGTGGAATCAAACAATGGCCATCATTCAACATATTAACAACCTTCTCTTCTGGTGTTGCTAAGATCATGAACACCACATCCATTACGTCCAATGTCCGCAATTCGCCTTTTCGTCTGAATCACCCAGACATGAATCCATGTTATATTGACTGTTATGATTGTAAATAAATTATGTAATTAGAACACTGCGTTCCGTCATTGAATTCAGAGAAAGGCGTTAACTAGTGAATGTGAAATGGAGGTAATTCGGGGAGTACTTAGGGACCGTTCATAATTTATGGGGGCGTGGGGGAGGGGGGGGGTGTCACTGATTTTGTACATGACATGCAAGGTGGGGTCACTTATTTTGTACATAAATTTTAGGGGGGTCATTCACATTGTACATACTTCTCCATAAAAATCATCACCACCCCCACTAGCCATAAATTATGAACGGCCCCTTAGGGGCCAAACGTTTCGGTATGATTTAAGAAGAGGAACAATTTGTTAACTTGTGAATGTGAAATGGAGGTAATTCGGAGAGTACTTAGGGGCCAACATTTTCGGCATAATTTAAGAAGAGGAACATTTTTTCATGGATACCTTTTTTATTGCAATGGATGCAACGTTAAGGTGTAGATTCTAACACGGCTATGCTTAATATTGCAGTAAAGCAGTTGTCTATAAGTCAAAAAATATCTTACTGTTCATCATATTAGCTTCCACTTAAAGAAGATGTGAGTATGGTTTTACGCCACTTTTAGCAATATTCCAGCAATATCACGACGGGGGACACCAGAAATGGGCTTCACACATTGTGCCCATGAGGGGAATCGAACTCGGATCTTCGGCGTGACGAGCGAACGCTTTAACCACTAGGCTACCCCACCGCCCCGTGTTGACATGAACGTTGTCGGGCTTAGTGACTTGGTTGATGCATGTCATCGTATTCAGGCTGCGTAGATCGATGCTTCTATCAATCATTCGACATATCAGAGGTTTTGGATAGATAAGCCTGATGTTTTCTAATGGCGTCTCCTTGCCCGGACGATGTCCTGTATTTGTAGACGTTAAAATATGGTACTTGTTGGTCCCTGCCTGGCGCTCGGCATTAATGGGTACAACAAGGACTGGTCGGCTCGGAGTCAGTATAATGTGTCTGAGTGGGGTATTCATGCTTCACTGCGGCATGGTATCTCAGTGGGCTAGCACTATAAAACCAGCTTCAGTCTGGGCTAGTACAAGCAGCCGCACATACACATACACACGCATGCACGTCGTCATATGAGCGAAATATTCTCCAGCACGTCGTTAATCCCAATTTCACCTCACCTCACCTCACCTGTATTTGTAACTTAAGTGCAGCAGTTCTATGTAAATGTGGGCAGTGTATATGTATAGTCTGTTTGCAGTGAAAACGTACCGATGAATTTCAAAAAAGTTAAGTGAAATTAAGATTGCGAATCCTAATTATTTTACCTTGCCAAATGAACATTTAAATCTCCGAATTTTATTCAACTAAGGATAAAAGTTGTTTAACAAACGATCATAAATTCAAATCGCTATTATGGGTTTGTTTTACAAGGGGTTGAGCGCAATAGATGGAACAGTGAAACAAATGCACGTGCGGTACGTGATGAGCATTAACTTAAACCAACACTACTTGTTCTCGGTGTGCATACCCCCTTGTAATGCAAACCAATAATTGCGATTTGAAACAATGATCGTTTGTTAAACAACTTTTATCCTAAGTTGAATAAAATTCTGAGATTTGAATGTTCAATTGGCAAGGTAAAATTATGAGGATTCGCAATCTTAATTTCACTTTATATGATTTACCTTTTTGTTTAAAGTGAAATTAATCGGTACGTTTTCACTGCAAACAGGCTATAGTTGTGTGTATTTTGTGCACCTTGCCTTAACAAGCACACCATATGGTACCAAGGTGATGTTACTTAATGGCCGTGAGAATGCCCTTGATAACCAATTCACGACATGGACTCTCTGTCCACGTGGCAGGGTGCCATATAGAAGATCAATATTCTGAAATGATACAGCCAACCCTCTTAAATATTTGTCACATCGAGCTGTCCATGAAATTCTGCTAAAAGCATAGGTAAATCCCATTCATTCTCTCACAATCAGCTCACTCACTCACTCACAAATGTGATAACTCAGCGGGCGCTATATAACCAGCAAGTCCACACTTTTCTCAACAATCCTCTTTTTACCTCAACTCGCCTCTAAAAATAGATATCCTGTCACAACAACAACACGTATGTCATAATCTTTGACGAGGCCACAATTTATTCCGATAGTACAAATTTCGCTTCCGTCAGTTCGATATGAGCACAGCTGTTCAATCTATCCCGTCCCACGTCTCAGTGTAAAATTGAAAAAACACCCTCGACTAAATGCAGCCGACTCTATGAAAAGACATCTACAAAAAGAATTATATACACAAAAACATCAACTAAGTCTATGATTATTGCATGTTGTTCCCGATTTGAACTTTAATCATCTTCTCCGACAGTCCGTGTTCAAAAATATTCTTTAACAAGACTGACGTTGTTCTCGGATCACGTAAACAAGATTAACCCTATATCTTGGCTCCACGATTCTAAGTGTTAATTGTGCCGTCAGTTTTGTGACGTCAGAACTCCTCTGCGAAGCGACTATCGATTTGCTCAATGGTCGCCATGGCAACAAGCAGACGCCATTACCACCATGGGGTGGTTTGCCGAATAGCGCATTCGATAGCACTCCCTAATCGATATATATCTGACACCTAGTCAGACGAATAACTGGTTACATCCCCAGTGTGCGATACACATCACATAATTGTGTTCTTGAGTCAGTTTGGGTTGCATTGCGAGCCTGTCAGCATCCCTTCCTCCCTAGCGGTACCATAGGCGTCTGGGTTTCGTCTCGACAAATTATCCATCTTCGAAATTTATGCTCCATGAATATTGAGTGACGGAAGCAAAGGAAGACCCTGTGTGACGTCAATAGTCGGCCATTTTGCTTCCATCTTTCAACAGAACAGTCACAGAAACGGTAAGTACTAAAATTCGACATGTTTCATTTTAATGGTGATTCTTGTCGCAGACTATCAGGAATCTGAGCAATACACTGGAACTATTGGCACCAACCTTTGCGCATGTAACCATGTTGTTTACTCTCGTCTCCTCGACATATGTCAAACGTCACAAATACGAACGAATGTTGATATTAATAATCTGTATTGTTCTTAGACTAGAGTTTACAAGCAATGGACAATATTCCATAGTGTCTAAAGAGTTCAACGTTTTCTTTTTGCTGAAGAAATTTGCTGAAAATGACATAATTTGAGAATCTTCTTAACATAGCGTAATTGCACATACTGTTAACGTTCTTGAAATTACCGGGTTTTATATGCGGTTGTGTAGAATTTAATTAGGATTTTAAATATTAAGCAGAATATTCATGAAATGTCAAAATGTCCGACATCACTTCAAAAATCGATAAAAGCAATCGGGTCAAAGACTGTAGTTTAGCTGTTTGTGTCTGTTTATCGAGTGTTTCGTTGCTTAAAGCTGTTAACCGTCACGGTGGGTCCTCAAGTAAGTCAGTCGTATAACTCATGGTATCGATGTAGTCGGTATTGACCTCGTTGAAACACTGCAGGAATTGTCGTATCCGCAAACGCCACTGTCACCCATCACTGTTTACGAGACATCACAGTGGACGAAATCCAGATTTAGCGTGGGTAAAAGTCATAAATAGAATCGATTGAGTGGGAGTTTCTGCAACCTCTGTTGTAACGCCTCTGGTCTATAAACTGCATGTTATTTGACAATGTTATACTTTTTCAATGTACATATCATGAAATCATGTTGCCAGTACATGTTGTCATTCATCTCGGCAATACAAATGAATAACTGCCGCTTTCCATATTCAGTAATATATTAAACTTCATACCTTCTGTCAAGAATCATCGGTGAGAAAAGCAAGTGATTGTTGACTATCGATTAACTATGCTATTTTATAGAGCAATGTTTGAAGGAAAAGGCAAGCTGTGGAAGAAAATCAGTGCAGCAGTCTAAAACGTTTCGGAGAGGTGGGGCAACTTAGTGATTAAAGCGTTCACTCGTCACACCGAAGACCCGGGTTCGATTCCCGACAATGTACAATGTGTGAACCTATATCTGGTGTCCCCCGCCGTGATATTGCTGGAATATTGCTAAAATCGGCGTAAAACCATACTCACTCTGAATGCTAAATCAAGAACGGCGTCAATGGTGTATACTTCCTCTTTAACTAGGCAAACACTTTTTGTTCGTTTGCTGACGTCGTTGCCGGAATATTGCTAAAAGCGGCGTAAAACTCACTCACTTACTCAAAAACTCACTCAAACGTTATCATCTATAAGATACTAAAACAAATGCTACCACATAACTTCAAAAAATTTAAACATTACTCCATTTAAATGTTTGTCAGCATGGTTTTTTTCAAACGGTCAAAATATCAGTGACTGCAACTTTCAAAATCCATTTCATTTAACAAAACTCTGACACATTTAAATGAAGAGTTACATTGCTGACAGAAACTCAGTGAAGACATATCAAGACCCCGATTAAGTGGATTACTCGAGAAAATTACGGTGACCAAAGTCGATATTTCGAGAGCTGATACCTCATATATTATGTCAAGAAGTAAACATTCCCATAGATTCATTCAACTTCAGCGACCAATAAACTTATGGACCAATAGCTCTCATGAAAATTGATGTTCCGCTACACAGGACAAATCCAAATTGACATCTGTCGACATGACATAATCTTACATCCAAGGATGGACTTCGCAGCTTGTATTACCTCACTACATGGTTCAATTATAGCCGAACACAATAGTCCTGTGATTACATGTGAAGTGTCAACGAATGGCCTCTGTACTGCGTTAACAATGGTTCGAGCCTTGAAGCTGAGTTGCCAATTACTGGTTGTGATTAAACACAAACTAATCACAAAGAAACAAGTACCACTGACAATGGCATACATGCCTTAATGTTATAAATTCAATGACATACACAACTTAATGTTACAAACTACAATGGCATATACGCTTTAATGTTATGAAAATACACGCAATGCCATTTTAGAAAGTGGTCAGATGTAACATCTGTTATATTAGGGATTACACTTTCTCAGTAAAGTACAGATTCCAGTACATTTTTTGGGTTGAGTCCCATCCGGGATTCGAACCCACACCCTCAGAGTCAGGCACCTAATCGCCAGCACACAAAGTCAGACGCCTAGACCGTTCAGCCACCGCGGCTTCCACGCATGTTAATGTTATCACTGACAGTGACATACCCACCTTAACGATACCTCTGACAGTGACATACCCACCTTAACGATACCTCTGACAGTGACATACCCACCTTAACGATACCTCTGACAGTGACATACCCACCTTAACGATACCTCTGACAATGACATACACACTTTAATGATACCATTGACAACGGCATATACGACTTGGGGATGCCTATGATAATTGAATTTATACCTCAATTGATTATAGAGATCACCATCACGATATTTTCATGAACCGATCGGAAGGGAAAACCTAGTTTATGACAATCACTGTAATATACACTCCCATGACAATGACACAATAATGTCGATAATACCATTGTTGAGTAACGACATATTGTATCATCTGTCACGAGGTTTACGTCAACTATATTCGTTTATAATGAATAACCTTCTAATGTGAGGTGAAATTGGGTGTAACGTCGTGCTTAAGAATATTTCGCTCATATGACGACGTGCATGCGTGTGTATGTGTATGTGCGGCTGCTTGTACTAGCCCAGACTTAAGCTGGTTTTATAGTGCTAGCCCACTGAGATACCATGCCGCAGTGAAGCATGAATACCCCACTCAGACACATTAAACTGACTCCGAGCCGACCAGTCCTTGTTGTACCCATTAATGCCGAGCGCCAAGCAGGGACCAACAAGTACCATATTTTAACATCTTTTGGTATGACGCGGTCGGGGATCGAACCTGCGACCTTCCGCTCTCCGGGCGGACGCTCTAACCACTATACCACGGAGGCGGTCTGAATAACCTTCTAATGCTATGCATATATCATGGCTGGGGTAGAACTTCCATACAGCAATGACAACTTGACCTCGGACGAACATCCACCAGCATCATTATCACAGGACGTTGGGTTATTGCTTGTTTGTTGTTTATTTATTTGTTTACTGTTTAACGCCGCACTCAGCCAGATATACGGCAGTGATCAATATCATGAGCATCGGTCCACGCTGTCGGGATACGATGACATGTGTTAACCTGGTCAACGAGCATGACCACCCGATCCTGTTAGTCGCCTCTTACGACAAGTATGGGTTGCTAAAAACTAGTCGTAACCGGATCTTTACTGGTTAGGTGGAGTTATTACTTCATTGTACAGTCAAGATTACAGTTATCACGAGGTTCCTTTACACATGATTTCGATAACAAGTCGGGCACGTAGATCGGGTGTGGAAATGCCACTACTGATGCCCACGTCAACAACCTGTCTCAAAATCAATTGTTTTTCTCGCTCCTCTCGAACACCCTGAAAATATTTTCAATACAGTCATCAAAGCTATTTCTGAACTTTGTTCACGGAGTACAGCTAGGGTGTTTATGTTGCTATAGCTACAAATGTAGCTGTGACAAATGAATGTTTTGGATGTAAATGCTTATATGTAAAACACTCACTGCAAAATTGTTAATGTAGTCTGTCTGTTATTGTTAGATTACCCCGCTGGTCTAATAGTCGTTCAAATCGCCAATCCCTTCTGTCTGCGAATAATGAGTGAGTGAGTTGCGTTTAGCAATATTCCAGGATTATCACGGCGGGGACACTAGAAATGGGCTTCAAACATAGTACCCATCTTGGGAATCGAACCCGATCCTTCGGCGTGACGAGCGAACGCTTTTACCACTAGGCTACCCCACCGCCCCTCTGCGAATAATGTCCCTCGTGTTTCTTTATGCTCATACTGGAAACTGCTCAGAATGTTTATTTAATTTTTCGCTGTCAACATTTGCATAATTCAATTGTTGTTCAATTCTATGTGTGATATAAGCGTTCACTTTGAGCCATTCGTGGAACACTGTTCATGCGCTATAAACGTTAAAGTCGTTAAAAACGACGTGTATATGTATACATACTGCCAGTATTTAACCATGCGGTTAGGGTCTGTGATTCCTGGGAATGGCTTCCCATGAAATATGTTGCTGCACATGCTATCATTCACTGTTCGTGTGCTCCAGACTCGATAGTTTACGGACCACCGTGATATATGGTGAGTGAGTGAGTGAGTTTGGGTTTACGCCACTTTTAGCAATATTCCAGCAATATCACGGCGGGGGACACCAGAAATGGCCTTCACACATTATACCCATGTGGGGAATCGAACCCGGTCTTCGACGTGACGAGCGAACGCTTTAACCACTAGGCTACCCCACCGCGCCGTGATATATGGGCTATTGCTAGATGTTGCACATATACTCGAACACACGCACGCACGCACGTGTACACACTTTTCTGCGACATACTCATTTCAGAAGACTGATACATGTCGTTTCCAGGAAACGTTTCCTATATTGTGGTTATGCTAAAAATATAAAATATTCGTCTTGTGTATTAAGATAGAAAACTCAGAAATGCATAATTCTTTAATAAAAACCTGGAATCAACATTATTTGATGGTCATTCATAAACACATGCGTCTGTCAACTCAGATCGTACAACGGACACTGCTTTTAGTGGATACTAGTATTTCTAAAACTAAGCATTCCAGTGGGACGGATTGCATCCAAAACAATTATAGTTGCAGCCTGGTTTATGATTATGGACTGGTGGGTGTAATTCTCCAACACACGCGATCTCCAGACCTGTTTAGTGTCATTGCACGATGGCGTCCCAGGTGTATTGCTGAGATGCGGAAGAGAGCCATCATATTACAAGGAATCGTTAACCGGACAAATCAGCGCAATGCCTGGGGTCCGTGCACATCGATAATACGTTGACCCCTGCTCTTTGCATTCTTCTGGCATTGCATGAAATGTTTGTTTTGTGACATTTCGATCTGAGACGATCTCCGTCGAAGGCGTGGAATGGTCTCTGTTGTGCAAGGGCATTAATCTCAGTTTGTGCAGAACACCAGTTCTAAACGTTCGGCGTTTATTCTAACAAAACCGCTTCATTTTAAGGAGATTCTTTTCATGCAATATACGTTGTGATGTTACAATGCTGAAACCAGAATATAAAATCATATTCTTTGGGATCATTTCTATAGTATACATTGACTTCAGGTAACACTGACAATCTACCAAACCACTAGGTGTATACATGAGTGTGCAAAATAATGTTTCTCAGAGGTATTCGGCATCCATGTCGCAAAGTTTGCAATCTTCAAGACATACGGTGGCTAGCGTGGAAATAGCGAACCTGGAGGAGCCAAACTAGTGGTTGATATCATAAGCAATGCATCACGCAATCGGAATTTTGAGGAATTGTGGGAAAACTTGCACCTCCAGAGTGGTTCAGGAGATCCTATAAAACACCTGATAAGTAATTTCAAAATATATAGGTTCACTATATTTTTGCCGAAACGTTCGAAAGTAAGGTTTCATAATAATATTATGATTGTTGACACTGAGATCTATTTCTGTACCAAAGTTTGATATCGGGACACTCTTGAAAAAATATTCTAACAAAAGGTATAACCTAATGCACTAACGTCCGACATATGCATAAGTTGTATTAGGTGTCTTCCAGCGCGAAGTTTGACTCTGTTCACGGAGCCACGAATGGGTACCGGGTGGGAAGGTGAGAACGCAGATTTGAGTGAACACTGTTACATTCATCGGGCAATAACGTGGTGTACTTTGAGTATGACTCTGTGGAATGACGGAGATTGCTAATTGTAAATCATCATCTAGTGTAGCAAAGTCAGAATTGAAATATCATCATCATTATTATCATAATCATAACGCGGTCTTCGACGTCGTCGTCTTCATCAACGTCATCATTATAGCTAACGTTTTGCAGATTTAACGTATAATGCTGTAGAGAGAGGTCAGGTGGTCCTGGATGGTTGGTAAAGCTCATTACAGCTCAGGTACCCTTTTCTCCCTCTACACAAAACCCAGACAGCGATGCGGACTGCTCCCAGAGAGTGCTGCCTAGTCGAATCCTTTAAAAATCTTCGGGATAATATGGAGACACCCCTGTAACCTTCTACAGTACCCAGAGTGTCAGAAGAGAAGTGCTCCCAGTGGAGAGCCCGGGCACACTCCTGATCTGTGTCAATCGATCAGAAGGGGAAACAAACCAAAGGCATGACAGTGTACTTGGGATGCAAGCGAGACATTTCAAATGGCGAGGTCCGCATATGTATCATGCTTTTCCTGCCTATACTGCTGTCAAAATGGACAGAAAATTCAATAACATAACTTGATTCAATGGCTTTATACAAAATAACAAGATCAGGTTTGTTGGCAGGATTTTTTCTTAGGTTATACATGGGCCTATTCCAAAGAAGTTTTTAAAATCATTATCCAGGACGTTATGGCCATGTTCAAGGTCGTACCATGGGTGGACCTCGGGGTCAAAGCCACACGCACGGCGATAATGGACAGAACGAGCCAAGCCGTCATGCCGTTTATGATAACCTGTTTGTGCTAAGGAAGGACATCTTCTGACAAGATGTTGAACATTTTCTGCAAATTCATTCATCCATAATTTCTCCAAGAAAGAGAAGTGACTGGTCTTGGGCAGCAAAAGGGAAAGCCCCCTGTTTCACATTAAAGACCAGCCGACTTCATCAAGGCGATTGCTATTCTGTTCCACACACTTCATATATACAAGGCGCAGTGGTTTAACACAAAGATTCTCATTAAATTACCTACTCTGGGCAGACTTGGTGAATGACTTCACCTGGTTTACTCCCATTGCTGTACAGTCCAGCAGTACAACGCCATCAACAAAATCAACCTCAACTTTGATATTCTGTCAAACTTTGACACGATTGAAATAGGTGTGGAATTGTTTGCTTTCAACATGAGGCTTGACATGGATCATTAGATAAATAAACAAGTTTTGTTTGTTTTAAACATATTTTAGTCGCTGAGAAAAGGATTAGGAACAAGTTCTCCAACTTAGAATACCCTCTCCTTGGTATTTACATAGGTAATTTAGATTTCCGCAAATGACAGATGACAGATAGTGGACAAGAAAGTAGAATAAGTAAAAGGAGATAGAGCTTATACAGACTAATATCAATATGCTATACAAATCGTTTTGTCTCACTAATGAACGATTGCACTAACTTGAATACTTTTACATTTCCACATGCTGATAGGTCTGCACTTCCTTCTAACAAAAGTTTAAGGTCGACTGAAATAACTGCTCATGAACAAATGCGCTTAACTGACAAACCTGAAGTTAACTTTAAAAAAAATAAACAAGTGCAAAGGTACACAATAACATTCTATCATGAAGAGCCTCCACATTATCAAACCCGGACATGATCATCCAAATGGAGCGGTCAAGACACTGGATTTTTTTTTTTGGCCCAAGGAGTGAGTGGGTTTAGTTTTACACCGTTTATAGCAATATCCCATCAGTATCACGACGGGGGACACCAGAAAAGTGCTTCACACATTGTACCCATGTGGGGAATCGAACTCGGGTCTTCCACGTGACGAGCGAACGCTTTAACCACTTGGCTACCCCACTGCCCCCTTGCCCAAGGAATAGGAAAGGATCATCAGATGCTTTTACTTTGGAAACTGTGCAGTTAACTTCATATAATGTACAGTCACAGAAAGTTTCATAGAAATAATGTTGTTTAATAAATCAATTAAATGTTATATTATGAATGTTTTTATTAATTTTCAGCTAGCCATGATGAAGCTGTTTCTTGTGCTCACCACAGTGGTGTCCCTCAGTGTGGCTGAGTTCTCCCTCGACCGTTCCTACGACACCCTTGTCGACCTTGCCCGCCTCTACCGCATGCAGAACCTCAACAGCTTCGACGATTACACTGGTGACGATATTGACAGCCGCAGCGGCGACTGGGCCGCCCCATACGGTGACGCCATGTACAAGGACCCTCAGTTTGGTGGCACTCACCTCCGTGATCAGGAACACATTGAACAGAGCTCTCTTTTCGGATCTCAGTCCATAACAGGTGACCCTTTAAGTACTGCTTTAAATGTAACAAGGATATTCTGGAATCGTCTTAGCATTGGTATTCTTCTGTTATTACATGATGAAAAATCTTGTAGCAAAGAATTGCATTAATTATCCTTACAGGTATTAACTTACCTTATTTCAACAATTCAAAACCAACTGATGTCATATATTTATTTATTCATTTATTTACAATGGAACGATAAAAGTGTAAAACGAAGGCTTCTTCTCTTTTATAAACTATCGTGGTATGATTTCTTCAAGAAAATCCTTCTTACAATGTAATATGTAATTTATTACAGGCGGTGCAACTGGGAGTAAAAGCAAGTCCGACAAACCTCTCCCAGCCTACTGCAACCCACCTAACCCCTGTCCCATCGGATACAATGGTAAGTACCGTCTACTACCCCAACTCAAACCCACCTAAACCCTGTCCCATCAGATACAATAGTGAGTACCGACCACTACCCCCACTGCAACACTCTTAACCCCTGTCCCATCAGATAAAATAGTGAGTACCTACCACTACCCCCACTGCAACACTCTTAACCCCTGTCCCTTCAGATACAATAGTGAGTACCTACCACTACCCCCACTGCAACACTCTTAACCCCTATCCCATCAGATACAATAGTGAATACCGACCACTACAACCACTGCAACTCGCCTTACCCCTGTCCTATCAGATACAATAGTGAATACCGACCACTACAACCACTGCAACTCGCCTTACCCCTGTCCCATTAGATACAATAGTGAGTACCGTCCACTACCCCCACTGCAACACTCTTAACCCCTGTCCCATCAGATACAATAGTGAGTACCGACCACTACAACCACTGCAACTCGCCTTACCCTTGTCCTATCAGATACAATAGTGAGTACCGACCACTACAACCACTGCAACTCGCCTTACCCCTGTCCTATCAGATACAATAGTGAGTACCGACCACTACCCCCACTGCAACTCGCCTTACCCCTGTCCCATCAGATACGATAGTGAGTATCGACCACTACCCCCACTGCAACACTCTTAACCCCTGTCCCATTAGATGCGATAATGAGTACCGTCCACTACCCCCACTGCAACACTCTTAACCCCTGTCCCATCGGTTACAATGGTGAGTACCGACCACTACCCCCACTGCAACGCTCTTAACCCATGTCCCATCAGATACAATAGTGAGTACCGACCACTACCCCCACTGCAACGCGCCTTATCCATGTCCCATCGGAAACAATAGTGAGTACCGACCACTACCCCCACTGCAAAACTCTTAACCCCTGTCCCATCAGATACAATAGTGAGTACCGACCACTACCCCCACTGCAACACTCTTTAACCCCTGTCCCATCAGATACAATAGTGAGTGCCGACCACTACCCCCACTGCAACACTCTTAACCCCTATCCCATTAGATACAATAGTGAGTACCGACCACTACCCCCACTGCAACACTCTTAACCCCTATCCCATTAGACACAATAGTGAGTACCGACCACTACCCCCACTGCAACACTCTTAACCCCTGTCCCATCAGATACAATAGTGAGTACCGACCACTACCCCCACTGCGACCCACTAAAACTCAATTAATCGCTTACACCAGTGAGTATCTCCCACTTTCTGCCTACACGTACTGCATCCTCCATGAGTTCTGCTCCAGTAGACGCAACAGTCATTACCGCCCAACCCCTGCTACTTGGACCACTCATTCCGCTCCTTCTGCTACCTGCATAACCACTGAAGTATCAAATCGGTTGTGGGTAGTATGCCACCCCTGCCGTCTATTGCTCCTTCGCTCTGGTGTAATGGCTGCAGTTTGGCACTGCACTCCTTAACAAGATCACTTCAAAAAATAAGATCACAAAAAACACGTTTATTTTAATATCCAGCTTGTGTATATCTCAATATAAGAACAGTTTGTAATATCAAAACGAAGTAGAAGTCGTTTGTATTCCGATAGTTTCACATGTTCCCTGTCTCACCAGCCAAAGACAACAACTGCGTGGAAAACTTCAACAACAGCGCGGACTACAACCGTGAGCTGATGGCGAAGCAGGACTGCCCCTGTGACACCGAGCACATGTTTGCCTGCCCCGAGGGACGCGGCACCGTCAGCAGCAAATCCCAGGGAGACAGCGCAGCGATCAAGCAGGTCATGGCCGAACTCAACACACTCGGAGGCTCTGATTTAGTATGTGCAGTGCGCTTATTGTTGTCCGAAGGGCTCATATGATCCTATCTCCATTTTCATATTTGGTGCACTCGGGGATCAGTATAAAGAGTTGCGTCCTTTAGTCGTTCCTGGATCCAAATTCTCCCTAAGAATGATCTGTGGTTCATCAAAGGTATCGTTAAGTCTATGACATTTGCCACTTCGGCATGTTCTTCCTCTTAAAGTTGATAGGCCGTGATATCGCTGAAATACAGTTCAAAGCATCTTTAAATTAATATGCTGGAGCTAAACCTTCAAAACGTGAAGACATTAGGAGTTCGTCACTAAATTAAGTACTTGACACATTTTCTTTTTCAAGTATATGGTAGCCTTCACATTTCTTACAGAATTCCTTCATGCCTGATGAGACGAAGAGAGAGTCACTCGTGGCCAAGAAGTCGCCAGAGCTCAGCCGGAATAAAAGAGTAAGTTACGTTGAGAAACAGTCACATAATGTCCAAAAATTACCCTGAGCCTGAACACAAGTTCCAGCGGCACCGTATTATCCTCTTCACAAGACCCATGAGGGTCCGGGTTAGAATTGATCTTCAGTAACCCATGCTTGTCGTAAGAGGCGACTAACGGGATCGGGTGCACAGGCTCGCTGACTTGGTTGACACATGATTGCTGACTTGGTTGATCGATGCTTATGCTGTTGATCACTGGGTTGTCCGGTCCAGACTCGATTATTTACAGACCGCCAGGTGCTGTGTTACATTCTGAATCCGGATTAACAATAGAATGTGGCAGGAATTGGATGTTTTTGTCAGAGTCAAGTTGAACATTTTAAATCCCATTTTGAATTCGCAATTGTAGATGGAATCTGACAAGAATTCAATGTTTTCTTGTGGAACCAAAACAGTACTTGACAAATAGATAAGAGTCAGTAAAAGGATTCCAGAGGTTTCCATGTCACATAGGTACAGCCAGTCTTCTAATGTCCCACGCCGAAACTTCTCGAACATTTTACTAGTGCTTTAATCATTGCTGCGATACAAAATGGCGATAAACAATCGATTACATCTGCTGCCACACAACATAAAAGAATTTTTACAAACATGCAAGTCTTCAATGTCCCTTCAGTCATGTACACTGAAGCAGTGGTTTCAGCTTCACATACACGGTTAAGGTAAATTGCACAGGAATCAAATATCAAATGAAACTACGCATGCCGTCCTTCTACAAATCGTTTAAAAGCTTTTCATCTCTGCTTCAGTTTTCCAAAATGTAAGAAGAGATGACCAATCACCAGCCTTGCTTCATACCACGTGACCGAGTCAGGAACCGACTTCTATTATTGTTCTATTCTTTTTCAGTCTACTGGGGAGGCTGTTCCAAATCCATATTTCGTAGGCCAGAGAATGAGAGTTTCTGCCAAAAAATCGCCTACCTATAAGTACAAGCATCAGTAAAACACGAAGCACGCCATGCTCTGTCATGCTGTTGACTTCCGGCTCTGCGCAACAGCTCTTCTGACCACCATGGATGCCATTTTATGCTTACGTTCATTACTTAAGACAAACAGCGTACGACGCACCTGACTAAAGTATGTGGCAACAAGATTTTATGTTATGAAATATCAATACGGCCAGTGATGTATCGGATCATTTGTAGATAATGTGCCTAGTCTGAAGATTTCATAATAGTTATCTCCCTTAGTTCACTTGACAATGCACTTCTAATACTAGTGAAAACGACATTAATTTAAATCATCAATTTTATTCACAATGCTAAAACTGGTGAACATTACTGGGTGTAAAACTCAGATGCGTCGAAAGAAATACAGCATCACAGGGATTTAGATTGAAAGTCTACCAGTTAATCATGGTATTGTCCACTATCATTGTTTATAATCTTTAAAAAACTCAACGGAAATGTTTTCGATTAGTATCTCCTCGTATGGTCACGTGATGAAGGCTGGGTCATGTGCAATATTATACTTCCTACCCACAAGCTGTGATTCGTGTTTGTCATAGTGAAATCTCATGTTGTGTGAATCTTTCAGTATTGTGTTAAATTGTGTTCTATGTCAATCAAATTTTGCAAAACACAATTACATTTGTTTACAACCCCTACCACTGTGATAAATATACATCAAGATGAAAATATTTCAGCAAATATGTTACTCGTGCTTACTATCAGAACGTTATCTTGCAAAACAAAATCAGCGAGACTTCTGTCTCTTTCTTGAATTTATATTATTATTCTATTGACATTTTGTTGTTGAGGCAGGAGGAAACAACATATCTGGTGTTGTTTTGTTGTTGATGATGTGTTGTATATGTGTCTGTTTAGCGAGTGCTTCAGTGCAGGTTCAATGCTTCGAGCACAAATCAAATGTCTACCCACTGTGCACATTGTTCTGTTATGTTCAAGATCTTATATAAACAACGTTAGATTCATAATCTGCCACGAACAACGTTACATTCATGATCTGACATGCTCTTACAGCGTTGTATTCATGATCTAACCCAACATACGTGGAATTCATGATCTAACAAAATCAACATTTTGTTCATGATCTGACATGCTCTAACAGCGTTGTATTCATTACCTAACACAGCATACGTTGAATTCATGATCTAACACAAACAACATCGTATTCATGATCTGACATGCTCTAACAACGTTGCATTTATTACCGAACACAGCATACGTTGAATTCATGATCTAACACAAACAACGTTGTATTAATGATCTGACATGCTCAAACAGCGTTGTATTCATTACCCAACACAGCATACGTTGAAATCATGATCTAACCCAACATACGTTGAATTCATGATCTAACAAAAACAACATTGTGTTCATGATCTGACATGCTCTAACAACGTTGCATTTATTACCTAACACAACATACGTTGAATTCCATGATTTAACTCAAACAACGTTGTATTCATTACCTAACACAACATACTTTGAATTCATTATCAATATCAACCTATATGAATGAGTTAATTCTTGTCATATCAATTTCAATCCTCACGAAAGAAGAAAGCAATCCTCCAAAGGATACAACTCAATACTACAGACCTCACAGACCAAAATCGCGTTCAGCCACAGATCACTGGACATATTTCAACCAAACAAGTATTTATTTCTTGTCACTGAACGCTTCCCACCGAGCACTTTTGTCCCCACCGGTATTCCGTATTTTCCCTCTTCCAGATGTTGCTTCCTTCATGCTATTTGTTCTTAAACCTCATGTGCGGCACTAATACTTAAACTTGTAAAATAATCCCACCTGTCAACAAGATCTCATTGTGTAACATAGCGATATTTGTCAATTTGTTGTTGAAAATAAAGTATTTTCCCCACAAAATCGGCGTGCTTTGTCGTTTTTCGTATTTCGTCGTATTTCAGAAAGAAACATTTAAATATACGGAGACGTTTATTCAGCGGACTGTTGTTTTAGCTACGTCATAGCAAGTTGATTGTTGGGACTATTATTCTAGTCCGTAATCTGTAATTGGAAGAGTCCGGATTATAAAGCAAGCTTTAATGATAACTTAAGAACAATTTTGCCGGGACTCAAAGAGTAGTCCGGATTATGGAGAAAAACGGTTTACAAAGAGTCCGGATCTGACAGATTCCACTGTTAAAAACAACAACAAACTTTGGAATATTTTTTTCTTGTGATGGCAAAGTCGACACAATTAAGCAGGACATGCTTGACTGTGATTCTTTCACACAGCAGATACTGATGCTGATAGCTGATGCAACCGCACTGTAGCAGACTTCCTGGTGTAGTGGACAGGGTGACTGCCCGGTGGGTTGAAGATCGGTGGTTCGATCCAAGACCACGTCAAAGAAAAGAGAGAGAGAGAGAGACAGAGAGAGAGGAGAGGCAGAGAGACAGATAGTCGCACACAGAAATGTTTGCATGCACGTCGATTTAACTGAGCAATATACACCATTTCAATCGTGCTGCGTGCGATTTTACACAATTCATTATCAATCATGGCAATGTTCGCTGGGATTATACTTGGAGTATGTGCAAACGTGACCTTACAAGACAGTCTGAAGGGCTCAAATAAAGTAAGCGAGTTACGATTTATGGTCACTCGGTAATATTACAGCCATACCGTTAATGATAATAAATATAGTTAGATTATAACTGTCGTCAAAGGACAGTTAAACAACTAGAATATCAAAGATATCGAATTAAAACTAACTTGTAAGTTCTTATCGCTATTAAAGACAATAGTATTACAATATACAATATATATTACAATATAAAACACGAGCTGTGACTTTTGCTACCTGCATGGACTCCAACATTTATCCATTGACGTCATGGTCTTGACGTCATGATGGAAGGACATGTTTTCTCGAGCTGTCAGGAAGTTGTGTGAAAAATATGCAACAGTGGAGAATTTAACAGCTGTGAAAGACCGTAAATGTAATCTATTGAGATATTACATATATCTGCTATGCATGTGAAAAGAGTGTAAGCGGATGGGAAGTATTTGTTTGGATATTCCTTGGATTGGATAATTGTGTTTGTCTCACAGCAAGAAGGGTCGCCGAGCATTGACGCTCACTGATCCACAACTTACAACGGATCACTAACCTGTACGTAGTTACATATTATTAATGGATAAAACCTCTTTATCCTGTTCTTTCATCTCCTGAGTCTGGCCTTTATAAAGACACAAAAAGACAGTGTTAACTTAGCTCCGATTCAGAAAGTTCTGACACATCCTTAATAATGAGCGCTCAAAAGTCTGCTAATATTCCGAGTGATGTTTCTCCGGAACGAGATGTATTTCTCGATAAACTCTTAAAAACATTTCAATGTAAAGAAGTCGTGTCAGTAATATGTTCGACCGTCACAGAAATCATTAGGCCTACGTTGCGCGAAGAGATCGATACGTTGATCTCACAAAACAAAAAAACATGAAAAAACTATGTCATCTCTCAATGACAGATTGAGTGAGAAAGATCAGGCCCCGATTTCTCGAAATAAACTTAAGTTTTTACTCATATTTCAAACTGAGTTGGACAATTTGAAACAGATGAATTTTTAACTCAACTGCATTTTTTGAATAAAAAAGACCAAAACAACTTAAGTAATCTGTCCACCAAACTCAAATTGTCTGCTATGTTTGAGTTTAATATCGATTTTAGTTCATTCTGGGAAATGCATTTTCTCAAATTTGAGTAAAAACTCTAACTTAAGTCGAAACTCTGACTTAAGTTTGTTTCGAGAAATCGGGGCCAGGTCTTTCAGGATCTCAGTTACCGCCTCGACAGGAGCGAGCAGTACTCAAAGAGAAACAATCTCCGTAAATGAGGGACTTCTGAGTGTGAGGGGGAGAACACGGATGACGTGGTGGTGAACGTCGCCAAGTCATGTGGAGTAGACGTAGTGCCCGAGATATTATTGATATAAGCCACCGCGTTCCAAGGAGACCATCCACATTGATGGAACAGGCCCGTCCTATACTCAGACTCTTTCAGTGTTGTCACAACCCCTAGTGTACAGTACACAACCCTGTGCACTTAAAAGAACCCACGAATCCGTTGGTATTTGACCAGATGGTGGCCACATGAATACCTGCAAACACCTAGTTGCGGGTACAACAACGTGCAGTGAACATGGACAAAGTACTGTGACTATGTGCCCCAGTCCACCCAGCTGTGAATGGGTACCTCGTTAGGATGAGAAAGCCACAATAACTCGGTGCGCCTAGTGGCTGCAAGAGTTGTATACTCCCCAGGGAGTTGAGATTGATAATGCGATGTGCCGTTGAGATTGACATCCAATGATCGAGGGAAAAAAATACCAGCGCTTTGAGCATGCACTAGTGCGTGGATATGTGCGCTATATAAATATCCTATCATGTCATATCACTTGAGACTAGTCCTATATGGCAGTCAATAACAATACACACAATACAAATTCTGTGTTTTGACTGCCTTAGCAAACGCGACACACATCAAGCTGTCCGTTAATGGTAACTATTAAAAATAGAAGTTGCTCACCTTGTAATACTCTAAGGTTGAATTTGCAGGAAACTCGTTGTTTTTGGTTATGTTTTTATTTTGCAAGAAATACATCAAGTGGTGTTCATGTGTATCGCTACTCCAGTTACTTAACTACAGTTATATCATTGGTGATAAATTACATATCTATATTTCAACATAACACCAAATACTTTGCGTAATTTTCATGAGAACCGGTTATTCCTTCAATCAACACATTTGTTAGTCATGTTTTAATCAAGCTCAATATGAAGATATTTGGAGTACAAATGCATGTTAGTCTGTTCGTCTTGATATTACAGATCATACTGTCAAGAAAACCAAGTTATTTATTTTGTCAACCTATTTGCAATTCATGATGCGTTAGTCGGTTTCAACTATACTCATGCCAATAATGGTTGTCACCCCCTCCCACCCCAACCCCCCTCACACCTCACATCCCTCACCCGACACCCCCTCTCCAATTAAAAAATTGAAGGAGGTGACAACCATTATTGGCATGAGTATATGAAGATATTTAGATTGTTGATGCATGTTAAAGTGTTCGTTGTTCTTTCAAAGGTATTTTCATGATAACCTAGTTGTTCCCTTTAATTCAGGTAGAGTGTAATTGTGTATTTTTCTCTTGTAATTAATCGATTTTGCAATCGACTCTTTGATAGTGACATATACAGGGCAATGATCACTACACACAGGATCTAGAACACCCGACTTTAGTACGGCGCTAACACTTGAAACAAAAATAAGATCAATAAATGCACTAGAACTAGGTGTAATCCTTGTAGGTTCAGTTATAAGTTGTGTTAGTCCAAACAGAGACCATATAACAAATGTAATTGATTAAAGCAACAGGCCCAGATGATATTGGCAATAAATTTCTGAAAATGAATGCAAGACAATTAGCAGTTCCCTTATCTGAAGTTTTAAATTTATAATTAAAGAATAAAGTGTTTCCTGATATCTGGAAGGAGGCATCAGCTGTTCCTATACACAAAAAGGCAGTATAAATGAATGCTCTAACTATCGACTAGTCGCACTAACAGGTTGTGTATAGATTTTCGAAAAATGCATCTTTAAACATGTATTTAGTCTTTTTAGGGATAGTGAAATACTTATAAACTTACAGTCCGGTTTTATGCCAGGCGATTCAACGGTAAATCAATTAACGTACATGTATTACTTCGTATCGTGTGCATTAGATAGCGTTCAGGAAATTAGGGCTGTATTTTGTGACGTAAGTAAGGCTTTTGACAAGGTTCGGCATAAAGGTGTTATATATAAGCTAAGACGTCATGGTATCGGGGTAACATGTTGAAATGGTTTGAGTGATCTAGACAATAGAGTTCAGCGAGTTGTTATAAATGGTTACACGTCTGATCAAAGATCAATTTTAGCCGGGGTTCCCCAAGGCTCTGTCTTAGGACCCCTATTGTTTATAGTTTATATCAACGACATCGTTGAAGGAATTAACAACAATATCCGTCTCTTCGCAGATGACACATCACTTCATGCTATAATAGATGATCTTGATAAAAAAGCTCTGTGACTGAATAATGATCTAGGTAAAATTTCAGATTGGGCTGTCAAATGGCAAGTTACATTTAAACCTAATAAATACAGTTTTCTCGTAAAGTACAGCCCAGCCCTAAACGAAATTTAACAATGAAGGACAGTAATATTAATGACGTTGATAGCCATAAACATTTGGGACTTACTCTACAGCACGATTGTTCCTGGACTGACCATGTTAACTGTATCGCTAAAAAGGTTGCACCCATGGTAAACTGTCTTAGTGGTTTTAAATATCGTCTCTCACGTAAAACTTTACAAACAACGTACAAACAATTTATTTTGCCTATTTTCGAATATTGTTGTCACATCTGGGACAATTGTACCAAACAGCAAGCACCCTTGAAAACCTTAATCTTGATGCACTTAGATTTATTTGCGGTGCTATTCGCGGTACGAGTCATAATAAAATTTATGATGAGACAAATTTCCAACCACTATGCACTCGAAGATACATCCAAAAACTAATTTTTTTTTATAAAATGGTTAATAATTTAACTCCAAAATATTTGAGTATTTTCGTCCCTCCTAAGGTATCTGGCACTACAAACTACAATTTCCGAGATCGTTTGAAACTCAAAACTATCGATTATAAAAGTGCAAATTATGCCAAGTCATTTCTCCCAGATACAGTACAATTGTCGAATTCTTTGGCTACCGATCACAGAAAATCGGCTACCTTGGGTAGTTTTAAGAAACAGATTAATGTGTCAAATAATAATAGTCACAACTACTTAAATTTAAACTCTGGATCAAGATTCTGTT